ATTCCAAGGTTGGGATCGGGTGATGGTACGTCGGGAAGGTTGCAGGTTACAGGTTGCGGTTTAAACTGCCTGTTCGCCTACAGTGATACGCCTTGCATTGAATAGTGCATTACCTAAACTTGGAGAACGTTGAAAGGTCCAGAATTGTGATTCAATTGATTGGCGCTCGGGAGGGGTAATTGTTAAACCGATTATCTAAAGTGCCGGGCATTAACGGGTGGCACGTGCACGGTCCCTATCATTGGTCCCTGGTTAATCGGCCGTAGCTTCAATTCACAGAAACTTTTTCTTTAGCAGACAAGACACGAGACCACTTCCAGCAATTGCCTTATTCCCCGCCAACCGTGTCGTGTCTCAACCCGCCCAGTGCGTTGGCATGAGGTGATCTGCGCTGTCTAAAATGAAGAGAATACGGTTGCACAGGTTATCGAGTCAATTACTCTCTACAACGCCCGCGAGGCCACCACCTAGTTCGACAAGGATATGTCGAGCCGCCCAGACTTCCAGATTACAAGCTCCTCTGTGTTGCCAAAGGAGATGGCAGACGACAACATCCGAGGTCGTTCTCGAAGATATAAACGATACTGAAGAACCCCCAATACTACTACCGGAGGAGGAACACATAGCACCGTTACCATCCCCGCCTCCAGAGCGAGCCCTATACTCAGCCAAGCTGGCGGCTCTGCATGCGCGACTCTCTCTATCCTCCAAAATCCCCTTACAGATTCTCGCTCGCGCCCTTATAGACCCTTCAGCCGACGCGGACCCCCGCTTCAACAATGCGAATCTTGCATTTGTGGGCGCATCCATCCTCCAGTACCATACCTCGGAATTCCTCATTACCCGGTATCCCCGCCTGCCCATGACCATTCTCTTCTCCGCCATGAAGGGCTACTCCGGCGTTCCGGCCCTGCACCAGATTGCCCGCGCCTGGGGTGTAGAAGCAGCCGCCGCGCCCGGCGAGGAGGTCGACCCGGGGTTATTGCAATTTTCGCAGGACAAGCCGACGGTCATGATGAGCAAGTGGGGCTACGTGCGTGCCGAGTCGAAGGAGATCCAGAAATATAAGTGGCGCCGGGGTGTAAGCAGCTCGGTCATGTATGACGATGCATTCGGTGAGATGGTCACGAAGCAGGATCAGCCGAAAGAAGAGGAAGACCCCGAGGTTAGCGCGGCAAGGAACACAAAAGACTTAGTCGTCGACAACCCTGTGGGGAATGCGAACGCTAACTTCGTGCGCGCGGTTGTTGGCGCTATCTATCTGTACTGCGGGCGGGATGCCGCCAAGACCTTCGTGAAGGCGCACGTCCTTTCTCGGACGCTCGACCTCTCTAACATGTTCGAATTCAAGACGCCAACAAGGGAGCTGGTTAAGCTATGCGCGAGGGAGAACTTCGACGCCCCCGTCGCGAGGTTATTAAGCGAGACGGGTCGTCTGAGCAGGACGCCCGTCTTTGTAGTGGGCATCTACAGCGGGCGAGACCTGTTAGGCGAGGGCGCAGCTAGTAGCCTCGACGACGCGAGGATAGCAGCCTCTATCAATGCGCTAAAGGCGTGGTATCTATATAGTCCGGTTGACACCGCGGTGCCGAGCGACACGTTTGTGGAGGATGCCGCTCCGTATAAGCCGGTGTACGTTGATATCGGTGAGGTCATATCGTAGTCTCCGGTCTCGGAAGAGTTTCTACGCGAGAGCACGTACGGATCATCCGTTACGGAGAGAAAATAAAAAATCGTTACTGGATAATGGCACCGGAGGGGATCATACGCGGGAAAAGGGATGATGATACCTAGCTGCTACGGAACTCATGAGGGTGGATTCAGGGGCCGGCATACCATGTGTATCATTGTACTATATTCGAAAGTCGCGAGCATAGATGGCCCATGTAGAACATACGAAGACAGCACCACCCACAACCACTCTTCGGCCGAGTGTAAATATCTACTTGCATGACTTAATTATCCCTCCTTTTTTCTAAATCCGTTTAAGTGTGTCCTCCCCCATCTATCTGATCGGTAGGTAGTCTATCTTGTGTATATAATGAAGTATGCAAAAGGGGAAGAAAAAGAGGGAAGGTTTAGTGGTTAACAGACCGATTTCGCGCAGCAAGTTAGCTAAAATGATCGCCCTCCCCTAACTTATCTGCGATGCCCAAGCGTACCAAGCGCCTATATGCCTCCTCCTTAGCAGCGGCCTCACCTTCCTCGCGTAGCTTCTTCTTACGCTCGTAGACGGCACGTACGCAACGGCGGATGCGGTCCTTACCCTCATCGAAGTTGGCGCGCGCGAGCGCCACTACCTTATCGACCTGCTCTGGGGTGTAAACGAAGTTCCAAGTGCTCATGTAGTCGCTTACGGCCGGGTTTACGCCGTCCACCTTCGGATTCGCTAGGAATGGTAAATACACCACGGTGATACCTGCGCTAGGCTCCATCAGCTGCCATGGCAACGCGTCGTCCGTAACTGCCTTTATGGGCGGAGGCGGCTCCGACGATCGCTCCTCGGTTGTACCCACCCAGACCGTACAATAGCCTAAGTCCGAATCCTCGGGATGTGATACGTCGTGCTTTGTCTTGGCGCCTGGCTCTTCGGGTTGGTGTTTGGCTAGATTTTGGCTCTGGGCTTGTTGTGCCTTCTGTACTTTAGTCTCTGCGTCCGCTAGTGAGTCTGCTTGGGCTGCGTCTAGCTGTTGTTCAATCTTTTTCGTCGAGTCTTGTTTCCTTGGCCATCCAACACCAACGGGCCAGCCCTTCACGCCACGTTGGCGAGCGTACCCATCTACTACTGACAACCAGTTATCCGTCTTGATATCTGCGGAGGCGTCGAATGCCACGATGATGTCGACATCTCGACCAGGTCGAAGTAGAGGGTAGATGGGTAGATTATTCGACATGCCAGCGTCCATCAACTGTATATACTCATTATTGTATATAGTGGTTGGTGTCGTGAACCGTAGCTTGCCTTCCATATTATACGTAAAATTAGGTATTTGTGCTGGATCGATCGGATGGACTTTCTCCAGATCTTCATTATAGCCATAGATCATCTCATCAACTGTAGCAAACCCGGTCAACCTCTTAACAAGTGGTCGAATTTCCCGATAATAGTGGCTAAGAGTTGCGCAGAAAGCACTGCCGAAAATACCCATCATAATGGGCATACGGAGTTCCGGTAGATGGAAGCCATTCTTCTCTGGAGGTACATCCTCTCCGCCGTTAAACCGTCGACCAAGGGCCCAAGTTGGAATTCCGGCGTTAAATTCTTCACAGAAAAATTCATAAGGGGTTAGTTCGAACCATTGGAACCATGCTTCCTGCTTTGCGATCTCTTTTTCTTGTTCCGGACTACCCTTCGACATGTTCGCGGCTATGTCTGGGATTTCATGGCGGACTGCAGTATATATTGGCAGGGGATTTTGTCCATACTTGATGTACTCTCTCTGACTAGAGAGCTTGAAGTCTCGTTCGTTAACACCGAGCTCGCCTTTTGGCACGAGGAGCCTTGCTGCTAATAAGATACCATATACATCAACTAGCCCGAAAGCTGCTTTCGGGTCCCCTTTCAGCTTCTCTACTATACTGCTTAGAAGTAGCTTATTGGTCGGAGAAGATGTTACGGATGAAAACGCAGCCGGAGGGTATGCGATATGAACCCCTAACCTTGCTTTCAAGTGATCAACGATGCGATCAAACCGGCAGTTGGTCAGAGACGAAAGGTATAGAGCTTGCATCCAGCATGAACCACTGACACCTGAAGTGTAGGTTATGCAGTCGAATAACCCATCTTCTTGAGTAGCGAGGAGTGAGCCCGTGCCTGCGACTAAGGCTCGCAAGCCACCGCCAGAACCGCACATAGCTATTGTAGGAACATCTTCAGGGTTAATATCCTTCTCGTCTAGGCTAAGATACTTGGCCAACGCCGCTGTCGCGATTTTCTTGCGACGAGCTAAGTACTCTTTTTCATCGTCACAAAGCTCGTCTGAGACGCGCACCTTGGCGGAATACTGGATTTCGGGGTGAATGAAAGGGTCATGAGCCTCCCCCCATATCTCTTTGGCTAGCGACCCGTCTGCCATGGAAAGCTCGCGTTGGAGTTTGCGGATCTGGACGGGAATAGCCTTAGACCAATCAGGAAGTATCAGCTCGACGATGCGATCAGATAGTGAAGACCATTCAATATCAGTGACATTTGAAAAATCTTCAAACCGGCGGGCAAAGGCTGACCAAGCGGTCTCCTCAGCTTGATGTTGTGAACCATCTTCGACATCCTTAGGAATCTTCTTGTCCTGTTTAATACGGCGGGCTTGGCGGAATTGTTCGTCTGGATAGAGCGAGTAAATAAGCAAACCACCTAGTAGGAGTAAAGCCACGGGCACGACTATAAGGGGACCTTTACCAACACCGGTCTCCTTCTGTTGCTGTTTTGGGGAACTAAAAAAACCACGTGGGAAGTGGTTTTGCTGCAATTTGGATGATCGACTAGAAAATCTGGATGCGGCGCTACGGATCGGCGGCAGGGCTAGTCGAGATGTTCCATGGAATAGTCTCGTTAAATGCCTTGCATAGCAAATCGCTATCAGTTGAGACCTCCGGTTGGATCTCATAACTACGGACCAGTACAAGCCTTGCTACATGTATGGCGAGTTGGAACCTGCAACATGACTTCCGGACTGAGCTTAAAATTGGTAGATTTGAATAAGAGACACGGTGACACCCTTTGATTATGTACCTTGGGGTGGGAACGTTAGAGTTTCGGATATCTTAGGTAATTGTAACGGAAAAGTAAGTCGTTTGCACCTGGCCTGCTGTTATGGTGACATCATTTACCATCTCATTTACTAGGGCGACTTTCATTATAGTGTACTTCGTATTCGGTCTGATATGCACGTAAGCACACTTTTAAGGTTTATATATGCGACTAAGCATATATATTACAGATCAATCTTATCGCCTTGATTGCCCGCCCTTTCTTTTATGGTGGAAGAAATAGCAACGAGGAAGGCACAGTGAAACATACTTACCTACCTAGGTACCTTATAGATTGTAATCGGTTCATAGAGTTGCCATAACAACTTCCTAGAGTTTTCTTTGAAGTACTGAAGAAGGTAGCATTCATTATGTTAGGTAGTACATATTCTTAGAGAATCAAGTCGTAACTACGGTACCTTCTATGGAAGACTCGGTTTGCTACTCCTAACCACCATCTTATTATTCCTCGGAATTTGGGAATTCATAATAGATTAAGTTGAAATATCACAGAACGGCTTAGGTGTATTAATACGACGGAAGAGCACACTTATTAGGCTATCCTATTACCATGTCGCTACACAGGTGGTCTTTACCCAGTAGGGCTTTTTCCCGCGAGAAATCCAAGGATAGCGACCCAAACCACCGTACTAGATTCCCAACCATACACATCGGTGACAATATCACTCGTCGGCGCGCAAATATCTCCTCTGCCTTCGCAAATCTATTTGAGAAGGATGAGAATTGTCTGAATACTGCAGAAAATAGCGGCGCTCGTCTTACTAGCAACGATTTGCGGCCCCTTTCTTGTATTGAAAATATAACGTCGAGTACTAGGTCTAGAGTGAAAAAGCGCGATAATGGATCTGACCGTATTGGCAAAGCTACCTTGAAAATATCTGGCGTCATTACTCATTTTTCCTCTGGGCAAGAGGCATCGCTACAAGAAACATCACAAGAGCGCAACACACGCAACCCATTCGATGACCACAACCATGTTAAATCATCAGAAGGGGGTACCTCGGATGATGATTCGCCAACTTCACTCACTAGAGTTCGCAGCGCTTCGTCATCTTACCCGTCTGAAGGTATCCGTTCTCCGCCGGAGCATTGCGCTTCGCCACAGTTGAATACTTGGACAGAAGACTTCATAGCTGAAATATCTCACTACGGCACATATCCATTGGGAAAACCCCCGAGAAAATCCAGCGCTTCGACCAACGATGTGTCAATATTGAGTAATAGAACTGGTAAGTGTCTTATGGAAGAATTAGCTGCAGCCGGTGGAGTTTCAGATACCGATACAAGAACAGCGAGTAGGGATTATACTCCGAGACCACCGTTTTCAGATGTTGCTTCCGCCAGTCGTCCACAAGAACAGCAAGACAAGAACTACGACAGCGATCACTTTGCCACGGCGAGACAGGAAATACTGGGTGCATCACAGAGAGCTATCTTGTCTGTACTAGATGGTCAAGGCCCGAGTACCTCAGCTATCCATGGCAGCTATCCTGAACTTGGATCGCCTCGCACTAGCTCGTCCGACGAGGAATTTCCATTTCGGCCGAGTCATGCAAGTTCTACAGATCACCTTCGTCGGAGCGCAGAGACATACAGGACACACTTTGCAAAAAAGATACACTGGAAGAATCAAGGTAACACTTATCATACTATGCCAGCGGCTATTGCGCGAGGCGGTTCCCGACGAGGCCGACTCCCTGAAGTTTCACCTCCCTTGGAAAGTCCGCTGCAACCTGGGTTTCATTTTAGGGAATCTAATGCATCTTCTACCACTCTAGTTAAACGAATCCAGAAGTTCAAGTTCAAGAAATGGATAAAAAAGGTATGTATCAAAACTAAAGTGCGGTTCGATAACGCTATAAGCATAGAAGAAGCTCCACATGCATCGGGCAGGCGGAAGTCCAGGTCATACAGATCACGGAAGTCAAAAAGGCATGGTGGCGCCTACAAAACGAAAGCAAAACCGACCAGGAGTCGTTGGAAATCGTTCAAGACCACGACTAAAACAAATAAGAGTACTCAGGGGAGAGAGGGGAGAGAGGGGATAGCACATCGATTCATGAACTCACTTAGACCGAAGCACAGCATCCAATTTCCCACACGAGAGAAGTCTAGGGCTGGGCACAGAAGAGTACAATCCTGTCCACCTTGAGGGTGATTAATACAGTATAAACTTTCATGTTCCCCGGAGGTGGCTATATTGGTGTGGTATGGTGCTATCACGATAGTATTGTGGATTGTATCTGTCTTTGAACCAAAGGGTTCATGGGGCAGGTTAGGGTCCGTTTACGGGACATTTTGCTAAGTGTCCTCTAAGCTTGGACTATGAAGCTTCTCTATAAACATCGCCTATAGAGTAGATGCACCAATAATAAAATATGTTAAGACTAGTCCTTCTTGATATAATACTACGGCCGTCTTAAGCTATGGGGTTAATAATCGACATATGTCATTTGCTTATGAAGGAAATCTCGCGGGTGTTTAAAGCTGATAAGGGACTTATCCCTAAATCGACACACATTCGTGATTGCGGATTAAAGAGACAGAAGATTCTTTAAATAAAAGATATCTAGTCATATGATCGATTTTGTTTTCTTAAGCTGCTACACAGTACACTATACCCCTATATGCCCCTTTTCAACCGACGGTACATTCTAAATCTCATGTAACCTGCCTCGGACCCCAATCACAAGAGGGATAAGGTTGGCTGAGTACCTAAGTAACTACAGGGCATTAAGTACCTAAGGAAATAATGAATACGGGCAGAAATTTCCCTAGGGAATCAGTGCCGCCTGTGTCTATGATGCCTCGTCATGCCAAAGCCCCAACCATCTATTGCGCAAGAGCACGAATTAGCAGACCGCAACTTAAAGGTAAGGTACCTGGATAGTCTAATATACGGGTTATAAATGGTTAGAGACAAGAACTCACATTGACTAGCCACATGGATATCCACATCCAGCTCGTCGGCCCAGTGCCACACCAGATCCGGATCCTTTAGGAACGCGCGCCCTACAATAACAGCGTCCGCGGACTTCGCGTCTAGGATGGCCTGGGCCTGCTTCCCTGACGTGATCTCGCCTACGGTACCCACAAGCGTGCCCGTGCCGGCAACCGCCTTCTTGATCGCTTCTGCGTGGGGCACCTGGTAGCCGGGGCTGGCGACGATTTTCTGGCGCGCGTCGGTGCCGCCGGCCGACACGTCGAGGAAGTGCACGCCGCGGTCGGCAAGCGCCTTGGCGAGGTTGGCGGCGTCGTCGAGGGTCCACTGCGGCAGGCTGGGGTCGTGCTCTAGGTAGTCCGTCGCGGGGATCCGGCAGAAGATGGGGAAGGTGCTGGGGACTTCGGCTTTGAGCAGGTCGACGACCTCGAGGAAGAGGCGGATGCGGTTGGTGAAGGAGCCGCCGTATTCGTCGGTGCGCTTGTTGGAGCATGGGGAGAGGAATTCGTTTAGGAGGTAGCCGTCTGTGGATGTGATGTTAGGAGTTGGTTTACTTCAAGGCTCATTCGAGATGTACTTACGCGCCCCGTGGACTTCGATGACCTGCTTCTATGTTAGAACTGTCTACTTACGACTTATCTAGTTACCTAGGTATATTTATGGTCGAGTTTACTTACATCTACACCAGCCTTCAAAGCACGCCGGACGGCAGCGACCCAATCCTTCTTGAACTTCTCGATATCCTCTTTAGTTGCTTCCTTCGGCACGATCGTCTGCGCGTTATAGGCCTCTGGGGATGGAGCAACGACGGTACTTGGCCATCCTTCCGACTGGATGATGTGTTAGTTCAGTTAAAATATTCTCAATAGGGCCAGCTCTCTGCTTACATAGTCACGCGCTGCGGCTTTTCGGTCAATCCATGGCGCGACAGTGCTTGCCTTCCGTCCAGCATGGGCTAGCTGCACGCCGAACTTCACGCCCTGGCTGTGGGCGAAGTCAACAATTTGCTTCAATGGTGCAATGTGTCCGTCGTCCCAAAGGCCGACATCTTGGGGTGAGATGCGCCCTTCAGGCGAGACAGCGGTGGCTTCTGTCAGGACTAGGCCTGCTCCTCGAGAAGCAAAACTCCCGAGGTGGACTAAGATTCGCAAGGTTTAGCTCTTTCTAGAGAAAGAATGAAGCTGTTATTTGTTGGACTTCGAACTTCTGACTTCTGAAATAGTGAAAGAAAAGGGGGGGCTAGTTGTTAGAATTCCGTACCATGATGCCATATGGTTATAAACCTGTCTCTTGCGGAGTATCTAGTTGTGTCAGGGTATTATGGGTTAGGGGTAGCTAACAGGGGTCTATCGACTATATAAGAGGCGCGAAGCGCCTTCGTAAGAGGATAGAAGGCCAGGCGTTATAAGATTAATACTATTACTATTACTTGGTTTACCTATCCTAGACACTTACTTTGTGTATGACATTAATTAACGGGTATAAACCTTGACAATGTAACGCTTATTATCCAACTGTATGGACCGTTTGTTAGGAAAGTAAACTACGAGGCAATACGAGAGACGCCTTAACGGCGCGCGAGAGTAGCCACGATTTGAAAGGAGGTATTACGAGACGAGAGAGAGAGAGACACTTTGACGGCGCGCGAGAGTAGCTACAATTCGAAGCATTACGAGACGAGAGAGAGAGAGACTGCTGTTACGGCGCAGGAGGTTAGCTACGACGAGAAGGCCACGATAAAAAAAAAAGAGAGAGACGACGGCAACGCCGCAGGAGATTAGCGACCTTTTAGGAGGCTTTGAGGCTAAATATTACCGACCTATAGCAGCAAGGCTATTTACATTATAAGCAAAAACCTTATTGCAAGATTTGTGGGGCGAGGTAGTAGCTATTACGAATAAGGCCCCATAACAAAATAAGGCCCTATAATAGAGATTAGGATTAGGGGCAAGGCTCTACGATTAATACGAGGTTAGGCGGATAAGGTTTAGGGCGAGGCAGTAGCTACAACAACAAGATCTTTAGTACGATCGAGATGAGGCCTTACGACCGAGATAAGGCTTTACGACTAAAATGAGGCCTTAGGCCCTACTAGTTGTCTTGGCTACGTTTTAGGACCTTATTAGTTATCTTAATTACGTCTAAGAAGTCGTAAGACTTTCCTAATGACTCCTAGAGAGTTGTGTGGTTGCCGTAGGGAAGATCGAGGCCTGAAAAGGTGTATTGCCGAGGTTTTTGACGAGGTTCGAAGATAGCTAGGAGACGCTTTAGTACGGTAGTAAGTGACCCTGTAGCGGGTTAGCGGCAAGGTAGTTATAGGAGTGCGTACTTTATTACCGATTGGGTGTGATTGGCCCGAAAAGGTGTATTGCCGAGGTTTTTGACGAGGTTTGAAGATAGCTAGGAGATATTTTAGTATGGTTGCAAGGGATTAGCCGTTACTTTATTACCGATTGGGTGTGATTGGCCTGAAAAGGTGTATTGCTGAGGTTTTTGACGAGGTTCGAAGATAGCTAGGAGATATTGCAGTACGGTTGCGAGGGATTAGCTGTACGGTTGTTACGAGGAAGAAACGGGGCTTAAAAGGGTGTACTGCCGAGGTTTTCGACGAGGTTCGAAGATAGCTAGGAGACCTCCGGAACGGCTGCCGGTGACTTTATAGCGACGAAGCTAGCGACGAGGCTAGTAGTAAGCAAAGGCTACAACGAGGTAACAGTAACGACGAGGCTAGAAGAGACGAGAGGAGATAGAGTGTATTCTTTATTATAGGGTAGAGGCGAGGTTAGCACGAAGAGGTTAGTAGTGAGGCTACGAGACGATAGCGAGTCTTACGATAAGATTACGATAAGAAGTTATAGCGAGATAACAGTAACGACGAGGCTAGCGACGAGGGCTATAACGAGGTAGTAACAACAACAGGGCTAGAGGCGACGACGAGGTTTACGATAATTTTTTACACTTCTTTACACGTTTTTTGGCTAGTTCCGAAGACGGGACTATAGGGAGAGGGGTGACTTTGTTAGGGTATTATGGGTTAGGGGTAGCTAATAGGGGTCTATCGACTATATAAGAGGCGCGAAGCGCTCTTGTAAGAGGATAGAAGGCCAGGCGTTACAAGATTAATATTATTACTATTACTTGGTTTATCTATCCTAGATATTTACTTTGTGTATGACATTAATCAACGGGTATAAACCCTGATAAGTTGATATAATTAGCTCTGTTCATAATGGAGTGATTTTGATAGAGAATTTACTGGCACATTGGAGAGACGATAATGCGGTTTTGAAGCTCAATTCCGTTGATCTTCAGGGGTGAGAAGAGGGAGCCTTCCGGCTGCAAATCCCAAGGGGTTCCTGCAGGAGGATCCTGAATGGGCGTGTAAAAAGGGACCTTGATGATATATTAGTAAAACTATTTACTAGTCTTATTTCATTGTTAGAGCCTCACATTCGGAGCGCCGTAGTTGATAAGATTCTTCTCAGTAGAGCAAGGCTCTCCTGCAACGGGAGCTTGGTCAGCTTGGACTACCTTTTCGGCCATCTTGAATAAAAACACGAAAGAATAACTAGGAATGGAGAGAGGCCTTTTGCCCATAATCAAGACTAGCAGGTTCAGAGTCGAGTACTTTATACTCGAATCAGCCCTATATCGTATAGCCGAAAGTTATACTACACCCTCCCCGCAGTTGCGTATAACACCTAATCTTACATTGTCAATCTGAATATATTTGTAGATCTTGGCAGGCTGTCTCTTAGTAACGCCCATACATGAGAATCCTTGAGATGCAACAGGACCGCATCGCCCATGTGTCATTGGCACGACTCTGGTAGCCCTATCAGCAGTCAATTGGAAGCTGTCCAATAATTACTGTGGAGTATGTTGATATAGTCTCATACTATTTCGTGTGTCACCATAAGCGACTATGTAAGTGTGAGATCCTATCACTGCTGATATTACAATATGTGTCAACGGAACCCTGCTTCTGATATAGGTATTACTCTGCTTTTGTGGACTATTATTAGTCCCACCACTAATTCATAAATACCTACCTAATGTTCCCAGAGTATAATGTCTTCGATCCCTCCTCTCCTGCACTTAGAATCCAATTCTTGTTATTTCTTAACTTCTCCAGTCCGTCCAGTACTCTTGCAATAGGCCCTATATTGCTTAGTCCGCCAGCTCCCGAGTAACACTGTCCCCAATATTTCCTCTAGGGTTAATGAAAAGAGAATCGGACTTATTAAAGGCCTTGGAACTATCACCATATCGGTATACTGCAAGGTAAATACGAGAAAAAGTGGAGAACGAGTCAACTTCATGGGTAGATCTGATGTGGAAGCTTCTGACTGAATAAGCGTCTTGCAGGGTTAGTTCCGGTTAGGTTTTAACATAAGTTTACGATGAATTTCATATTATGGAGATCAGTAAATTCTCATATTCAAATACTTCGAATGCTCTGACGCTGTTATTGTACGGATATAATAGGACATATCACTCAATGGCACTATCTAACACTACCCAAAGCTAGTGCAATTCTACCGATTTCCCCGGTGGCGCAATTGGCTAGCGCGTCTGACTGTTAAAAAACTGTTATCAGGAGGTTGAAAGTTCGAGCCTTTCCCGAGGAGTCCTTTTTTTTTCTCCCTCATTGAGGGAGAAAGATATTTGATATGTTTTATCATGCGATCCACTGGCTGGTTATGGCTGGTTGTATTTGAGTGCTTATATAATATGCTTTTTTACGTATTTAATATCTCCCAATTGCGCGTATATTCGGCTGTAGAACTCCGGATTGACCAACACCAAGTATGCGCTAGAGGATGAGAATCGTATCATGGGCTCTTTCACTGTTTGAAGATTGTGCCGGCATGTGGATCCGGAAGTGCTACGACCGATTCAAAAGACTACTATAAAGGGTGTTTGCGGACTTCCCTCCTACAAGTTGTTGAGTCACAGGACATACGCCCACTATGCGGACTCTTCGACAAAGCATTGCAAAGTCTCGGAACAGGTATGGTCGTCTGCGTGATCAACGAGGTCGACTTATTCGAGAACGAGACTCTTCTTGCCGGTCTTGATTCCGCAATGCGGTATCTAAGCAGCCTGGTACAAGCGGTTTCCAGGACCCAAAGCGGCATCACGTTTAAATTGCTACTAATAAGCTTAATGAATATTGAGAACTTCCGGAACTGGTTTCTGGAAGCAGTAGAATTGGCTTTACTTGTAAACTTACTCTCAAGCGGATTAGCCCCTAAAAGAGCATATATTGATGGAATATCCGGACATAACCCCGTATTCCTAAACCACCTACCTAATATATATGCAGTTAAGTTTTGAGTCAAATCAACTTAGAGTCTAAATATCTCCCCCAGACAATAAAATATTTACTAGATATTATGAAAAGAGCAATGTGGCACGAGGGCGTTCACCTGTCTACTCTAGTAGTATTATGTTAGGTACCTAGGACTTGGCTTCTATTTCCAAGTTCTCCTAATACCAAGGCTCCATTTATTATCAACGTCTGATGCCAGTTTTATTTTAAACGGAACCACCTGATCCCCGGAAAGGTCCTAATTAAAGATTTTTCTCTTAGGTAACCAATGACATATCTGCTACAGATATAAAGAGATATCAGGAGAACAACCCTACGATATCTTATTACCTGTCTCCGCGTCCTGTTCTTAAGGCGTATATTACAAATCCTTATATTATTTCCACTTATTCGTTTGTTTTTCCATTATCCGCTTCACTCCCCTTTTCCTCCTTCTCCTCCTTCTCTTCCTTCTCTTCCATCTCCTCTTTCTTTTCCTCCTTCTCCTTCTTTCCCTCCTTCTCTTCCTTCTCCTCTTTCTCCTTCTCCTCTTCCTTCTCTTCCATCTCCTCTTTCTTTTCCTCCTTCTCTTCCTTCTCTTCCATCTCCTCTTTCTTTTCCTCCTTCTCTTCCTTCTCCTCCTTTTCTTCCTTCTCTTCCATCTCCTCTTTCTCCTCCTTCTCCCCCTTTTCTTCATTTCCCTCCTTCTCCTCCTTCTCCTCCTTTTCCTTCTTCCTTTCTTCCCTCTTCTTCTTTTTCTCTTTCTTCTCCTTCTCCTTTTTCTCCTTTTTCTCCTTCTTCTTTTTCTCCTCAGCCTTTGCTTTTGCCTTCGCATCCTTCTTCTTTTTCTCGGCTTGGCAAAGTTCCATCTGTCACAAATGAAAATATGTCAGCTAAGCAATACCTATTGAAAATCTAAGGCTGGAGGGGAGTATTCCTAAAGGGACAAGGATAAAATATAGGTATAAATATCTAACGAGGGACCCTTACTGTATGTATATCGGCAATTTCAGCTATACAGTGTATAAAATCGCAATCCCCCGTAATCGCCCCAGGCGGCATGTTGAGCTTTTTTTCTAAACCAGTCAAGAACGTTTTCTTCGCCTTCTTCGTTGAAGATGAAAATGCAATCCAACCATGCTTCCGGACCATGTAAGAGGCATGTTGTTTTACTACTTCGATTATGGACTGGGGGATGCCCCCGAACTCGTTGTCGATTTCTATTACTTCTTCATCTGCGACTTCCTGGCTGTTGTGAGTTATATTTTCATCTGCATTGTTGATACTCCAACTGGCTAGTTCATTTAGCTTCTCTAATGTCTTAGATCCACTCTTCTTCTTCTTCCCTTTCTTGTCGTCTTTTGTCATCGGCTCTACAATGTGCATAGGGACGTCAATGTCCACCCATGTCTTAGGGCTTTCAGATGCGCTCGTAGCCGTGATACTCTTGCCCCCATCAGCAGTCAAGCGCCTGCGGATTTGGATATTGATGTAGCTGTCATTGAGAGGTTTTATCCACTTGGTGCCACCAGGCGCCTCGTCATCCACATCCATCCGCGCCGTCGGGCAGAATAGAAGCGCCTGCCCCGTTCGGAGGCCGACTATTGTGCGAAAAAGTGAATTATTGCTCCCAGGGTCCTGCCTGTTAGCTCCGGCGAGATGATTTTTGAGGACCTCATACCAGCTCGGGGAGAGGAATCGGTGAACAAATGTCGCATTAGCCAAGTCGATAAGCTTAGGCGATAGCGTAGGCTCCTGCGTAGCAATTACCACGCGTGTCCCAGTATGCCTTTGCTGGCGGATAACCGAGACTAACTCATTGGTAAGGACAAGCGCCTCGCCAGATTGCGCTAGAAACTGGTTACGATTAGTTCTCACTTAATTTCTTAAGCTCTGATCTTGTTTTCTTTTAATGACATTACCTTATGAGCCTCATCCATCGCTACAATACGCCCGCATTTATTCCGCTCCTCGAGAAATATAGAGAGACAGATCGAGAATAGCGTACATGCTTCATCTGAACTGATAAAAGGGTCGCTCAGATCAACGATAGTTAAAGAGCCTGGCTCAAAGGCCCAAATATCCTCCGATGACCGCGCTGGCCGGGTCGACTTTGTCATCGGTGAGGGTGCCATGAAGCTATCCAATAGCTGAAGACGGAGGTTTAGAGGTATCTTTTGTCCATCCATCCACGGCATATCATCAATACGTTTCCGAAATCTCGAATAGGTGAAAGCCGATCCTTCCATGGCTATCTCACGAACGATGTCCATCACAATCTCCATATATAGTGGGGTTTTGTCAGCCGTAGGGTCAACAGCCATGAGCTTTAGGATTCTCGAGGCATCCAACTGGTGTTCTTCGAGATAAACTATAGCAGTGAGTCAGCAACCACATCTTATGTAGTAAGAAGTTTAGAGGGCTAGGTAAGTCTTGACAGCAGTAACTCTCAGGAAGTTATCCAGGTAAGGAAATATTAGCCCCGAAAGACAAGCAGGGAAAAAGGGAAAGAAACTTTCAGTTACATACGGGGCACAACTTTCGGCTTTGGGCTGTCCGGAGCTAAGCCTGGCAGATTGCTATACAAGCGCTTCATCGCCCAGATGTTGGATGGCGAAACGAGGACGGTTACTGGAATACCTGCGGAACATAAATAAGCCGCCTCGCACACCTGGGCTGTGTTGTAGTTTGCGTGACTGTCGTAGTGCATAACCATGCCTGCTAGTGGGTAGGGAAGAGCACCGGCATTATTCTGAGCAACAAGGGCATTTTCTAGGAGGCAGGATAATGTGTGGCTCTTCCCTGCTCCTTGGGAGCCACAAATAAAGGCAGACCAAGGAATATTGCCATTACCAATGACGAGGCCATCCTCTAAAGAGGTCACGGCTCTACCGTCTCGACGAGTACCAATCAATCCATATTGGGGAACCAAATTCGAGTTCTGTTGGCTCGGCGGTAACTCTGAGTGGACGAATTTATCGACAGCAGCCGTGAATATCGGAGTATCCCTGAAGCTCTGAGCCAGCTCTCGGTGACGAAGACCTAGATCTTGCTGCTCATTGACAGTATCACCATCAATGAAGGCTAGCAGCTTAGGATACTCCGATGCTCTAGGACTTAGAGTGGTGTCGGAGTCTATGGGGGTTTCCTGTTTATTGGTCCTTGTGTATGGGGTTGAAATGTTCCAGAAGCTTTGAGAAAGCAGCTTTTTGCTATCGAGGCCCCTATAAACTGCTAATGATCTGTTGGAAACCCTCGTATTTAAGCGCATCGATGTTAGTAGATGAAGCATATTGTAAGGATATTGTTTTCTATAAAATTAGTAGTATAGGTAGTGTTGATATCAGGTGATAGACCAGTCACTACCTAGAGGTCTAGAATTATAAGGTTGCCAGCTTAGAAGCCAGTCCCTATAATCCTCAGATTGCCAGTAGCAACTATCAATCACAGCTACCTAGTATGCAAACGAATGAGAGCTTCACGCTTCTATACGACTGTTTGCAACGGCTAGGTTTCACATAAATTAAGACACTAGGTCTATAATTTACGTTGCATTTAGGTACTTAAGGTAGATTATTGATATATCATTAAAAGGCCCACGGGCAGCACGGGGTGAGGTTACCGTTTGCCTTTTTTTTCTTCTGGTAGGCGCCACAGAAGCGCGCCACAAAAAAAATTCTTCTCAAATGTACCTATGGACGTACCTCGTTATTTTCACCCGATTGATGAATAAAAGTACCTACTTGACCCACCTGTTAAATACATATACCATCTTTGTTCAAGCTATCACATATTATCAGTTGGTAGGTAAGAACAAATCAGGCTATACAAAAACGAAAGAAACCCCTTAATTCAATCATTATCATTCTCCTTAAGTTGATGTTACTCATTTTCTCATTTATGTTTCAACCCACAAATTCTAAATCTTTTAACAAAGCTCAAATTTTCTTGTAACGCTTAATCATAACACCACCCCGTAACAAGAATGTGTATCATACTAGTTCATCTTCCGGGACTATATCGATCGGCCAGGGCCGGTCCCGTCCCCGTATGTCGTGACCAAGTAGGTACCCACCTCATAAAGGCTTAGTGTGATTATCGCCGCTGTCTGCCTAGAATTGGGCCACGTATTGCAGGTAGACTTAAACTAGACGTGATCTATCAATGTCTTAATATGCACTTCTCAGTGTAGTCACTTCTTATTGTATTCTTTCGGAATCAAGTACTACGTTACTCTCAGTTACCCTATACACTTCCATATAATGCCAATTCCTACAGTGAAACTCTTCTCTCAACAGGAACATGGCCACCTATTACCGGTCATCGCTGCTATCCATGCAGCTTGTATTGTGCATGACCAAACTACCGCCACGTTCCTCCCGCCGCTAAAGGGCTCAAAAATTCAGAAGTTTTGGGAGGGCATAGCAAGAGAGACTGATTTGGGAACACGGTTTATTTGCATTTTGCTCAACGAGTCTGAGCCAGGCACCAAGGCCAAGGAGCTTGAGCTTGTAGGAGTTGTTACGCTAGGCATGCCATTCAGCGAGACTGGGTCTTTCCGTGGATTCGTGGAGAAGCTTTTTGTCAGCCCTACTTATCGAGGGAGAGGTGGAGCTAGAGCTCTGATGTGCCACCTAGAAGCTGAAGCATTGAAGAGAGGCAAGACATTAATGGTATGTACTAACATACCCAAAGGGACTTCAGAGTCTTCAGTAACTGACACGCATATAGTTACTAGACACGGAAATTGGGAGCCAAGCCGAGAAAGTATATCCGAAACTAGGGTATACGGAGATGGGCAGGATCCCTAGATACGGCATCAGCCCCGTAGGAGGACTAAAAGACGAGGTCTTCTATTATAAACATCTACAATAAAAAAAGGATATACTTGGTTGATGAATTGCCCCTTTCTCGGGTACCTTAGGAACCTAACCTAGGTAAATATTGTCTCTTGACACTTGCCCAGGTTAGGCCAGTGCATTTCGCGTCTACGGGATTTTAATCTTAGGTTAGGATGATCAAAGTTGGTTAGCATTGAGTCGTCAAAACTACCTACCTACTAGGTTAGATAGAATCTAGAGACCCTCGCTAAAAGCATAGACCGGGATTCATGAAGGAAAGTCCCTCAATGCCGTTGATGATCACAAAGTTGGATAGAAACTGGTGGTAGCTCAACCGTTACGACCCTCTAATGTTAGCATTGGATTAAGCGAGGTCGTCTAAATAACATAGTACTCGTATTATCGCCAAGCTAGTATATTTAACGCTATGTTCTATATAAAGAATTATTTGTAAGTCTGCTGAAGACTAATATGCATGACTCAGAGCCTCACCCGAAGAGTCCCGAACCTGACCCGTGACCAGCCACCAGGATGCTACTAATTCTACTGCTCCTTAACCCTTTTCGCTCGGCAGCTAATTCGCTAGTCCACTCTACGCTGCATAACATCGCGTAAATATCACAGTCCCAAACTACCAGTGAACCGTCTTTGGAACAGATGCCATTGGGTGAGGCTTTTTCCCCTAAAATGCGACCCTCGGGAGTGACATGTTACATAGTAGATCATTCATCACAATTGGACTTAACGAGGGAGTCCTAGTCGTCACGCACAGTGTGTTGAAGCTTTCTAAACAACTACCCCTTAGATATCTGTTAATCGAGGTATTTAACTTGTAGCCATTGCCCCCGTATCCTATATCATATTTGAACAAGAACATATTCAACTACGACTTTATACTACCAAACCAATCTATCATCACTTGCAATGGCATCTCAGAAGCCCGTCATCGTGCTAATCCACGGCGCATTCTTTGCGCCGGTGCACTACCGGAACTTGATCGAGCCCCTGCGCTCTCAGGGATATATCGTGCTGAGCCCGCCAATGGCGACAACGGGTATCGATGACTCTATCGCGGGGAAGACTTACGTCGACGACGTCAAGCGTATTCTCGAGAGTCTTCTTCCCTACTTAGATGAGGGTAGGGAAGCTGTGGTAGTCGGTCATAGCCAGGGTGGAATTGCCGCCAGTGCCTTAACTGAGGGCCAGACCGTTGAAGACCGCAAAGCTAAGGGCCTAAAGGGAGGCATCAAATCAGTTATATATCTCACTGCCCTCGCCATACCGACGAAGGGCGAAAGTTTAATGAGTATGCTGGGTGGCACGCCCCCGCCAATCTATAAAGCCGAGGTAGGTTGCGTACCTTATTGATTTTTTTGGGCTCACCAAAATGTTAACATGTATGATATAAATAGGGGCCCTTCTACGTCCTTACCGAGTTTGCACTGTCCCCCCAAGATAGCGATATTCCAATCCCCGAAGAAGAGCAGAAAGCACTGGCGAGGAGCTTGGTGCATCAGAGCAAGGCGAGCATAGAAGCTCCCGTTCAATTCACCGCGGCCGACGTCACTGTCCCCAAGACGTACATCGTCTGCACCGAGGACAAATCTTTACCCGCTTCTCTTCAGGAGCAACTCGCCCAAGCGACCGGGTGTAACATTGTTAAGCTCCCAGTCACCCACTTCCCCTTCCTGGAGAGCCTTGATAGTGCGATGAAGGTTGTTGATGTCATCGTGGACGTCGCTGGGAAGTGATGAGGATCAGTTAGCCGAATAAAGTACATAGTGAACTACTTTAAGGAGCCAGTAGCTCCGTCTCCCAGCTCAACCCTTTGTATAGTAACTCTTGTATAATAAACTCAGAACCTCAAAGAGAGTGGGGGCACCAAATATGTAAATAATTATAAATTTCCCCGTATATTTGTACATGTTCAGCCTAATGATGTTGCATGTGATTAACTCGGTTCTGGTCTAGGCGATGCGTCGCGAAACGAGCGGGTTATCTATACAATTCAAAGCGCTTATATTATGGTGTAATGATTCAGACATTGTGTCAGGATTCTAGATGAGACATCTAGAACAAAGGAACTGTTCAGTATGTATAGACGAGGGATCTTCATAGGTAGTTTAGAGTTCCTTGCGGAACAACGAAGTTGTTTCCATACTGTTTCGTTCCACCTCGTGACACATTGACAAAGTTCCACGCCTCGATTTTCTAGGAATATGGGGGGTTGGTTTGTACGCTACTTACCTGAATATTTAACCCCTATCCGGACTGGGTTGTGTCTTACCTAGACCGCTAATACAAGACTGAGAGTAACAAACATTTTTGTTACCGTATAAGTGCCTAGATGACAACTGTTCGAGCAAAGGGGTGACTCTAAATACTGTTATATCCGCCGCGAACGATTTCCATGAGTAAGTCATTCACAATGTCAATTGGCAAGCCAACCACTGAAGTTCCAATACCAAGGACTTCGAAACCACTATCATCTTATACAAATAAATGTTTATAGTAAGACCTGAGCGCAAGGAATAAACATTTGCCTCTCTAAGCTTCCTGCTGAATATCATGAGCCTATGCCTAGAACTAGGCAAAGAGATCTAGGTTTGATGTAAATCCCCTACCTTTAACCGTGGCAATCCGGACTTGATGGTAGATGCGACGTTCTCGAAAGATATTACTTGTTATGCATCCATATGAACATGGTGAAAAGGGGGCAACAAGAGTATTGCATAATATTATATTCAACAGGGTTGATCTGTAAGGGACTATTGGTGCACCTATATTGTGCGCCACTGGCTTTTTCATTAAACTGGAAATTAAGTTGAAAACTACCACTTACGTCCATCCATTGAGTATTCTTCTTAGATAGCAGTATCAATGATAATGCCACAATTTTTTACTTATTGCCAAGATACGTCCCTGGCTTGGCGCTCTTGGTTGTTAATTATCACTTCGAAGAGTTCAGAGATAGGGGGGCTGATGCATCCTATTCCGAAATATATGTAGTGCAACTTTTAGAGTCATTTTGTCCTACTGTACATACTTTTTCCCTATTGGCTAAACTCCCTGAACGCCTATCGCTGCAAATATGATACAGCGACTACACCTATTCGTCATCAGCGAGCTCCTCAACCCTTGGAGCTACATAGGCTCTCTGCTGGGGCTCCGTTTGAATCTGAGTTTCAGTTGCAGTGGTAGTAGCGGTCGCTGGAGGTGGGTGACCTGTGTGGCTCGCAAGCTGAGCAGCTGACTCGGCACCGACTGATTTAGAAGCCTTCTTCTTTTTCTTGGGCTTCGCAGTCTAATAACCAGTTAGTGTGTGTCTGTGATATAATATCAGGTAATAACAAACCTCATGCCAAGCCCAAACGGGACGGAAACTGTCCATGAAAGAGACATCTTCCCAAAGATTGGGGTAGAGCCAAAGTCCAGGGGGCACGACAAAGTACGTAATGCAGAATAGAATGACGCGGAAAATGGCCATGAGGAAGAAGAGACCAAGAAGCATCAAGAATCCCCAGCTGAGATAGTAGACGCCTTGTCGCAAAACGAGCGGCCATAGAGGGTACAGGACTACGGTGAAGATGACAAGTAAGGCAAGAGCAGCATAAACCTTGCGCATAATCTGACTGCCCTCGTACAGCCAGACATAATACATGTCGTCACCAGCATCTTGCTGCTGTTCAATTTTGACTGTCCAGAGCCCCTTAACTCGTTTACCCTTCTTCGGAGGATGGTCGTGGCCCTCGTGGGGGTCGATCTTGCTGACACGCAAGGCTAACATGGACAAGGGTAGCAACTTGAAGGTATTCTCAAGTGATGCGCGATCGGTGACCTCGGGGAGTGCTGGGTTCTTCGCGCGTGCCTTGGCGTAGGCAGGAGATTGAAGAGCTCGAAGAGCTCTCTTGACTAGAAAACGGGCGGGTGAGATTGTGTCACCTCTAAAATAGCAAACGGTAGCATACCTCTGAACATATCCTTGCGCTCCCCATTAAGGATGCATGTACGTTGCTTTAGAGTCTGGCTTCGTAGAAAATTGGCAAGAGAAATTGCGACGGGATTAGGAGGGCCAGGGCGAATAGGTTGTGGTTGACCTTGGGCTCCCGGAGGAGGGCGCGGTGGTCCTTGAGGTCCTTGAGGTCCTTGAGGTCCTTGGCCACCTTGCTGTTGTTGTTGTTGTCTCTGAGCTGCCTGAAGCTGTGCTAGACGTTGGGCCTTGATGTGCTCGACAAATTGGGGAACAGTCATGCCATGCTTCTGGGCTTCGGCGGCCAGTTGCTGTTGCATCGCGGCAATCTGCTGAGGCGTCGGCATCTGGCCTCCAGGTCCCATTTGTATCGGGATAGCTCCCGGAGGAACATTAGGGTTCTGCATGTTAATTACTATCTCTTGAAGTTATTACCAATATGGCTTTGAAGTTGGCAAAAAAAAAGTTAATAATTTTAGTTAAGATAGTGTGAAAAGGAACAGTGAGATGTGGCCGCAAGGTGCCAAGTCTGTAGATATTTTGGACTGACGCAAATAGAACAATCTGTCATTCTTGACACCTTGGGAAAATTTAGCGTTATGGGTTTGTAGGTACCTAGGTACCCAATAAAATAGGTAAGCCCAGGTCCGACTTCCACTGATTATTCTACTGAGCTTCCATGAATTATCCGATAAGATATGCACGGACCATGTTGCACAAATGCCTCCAAATGTCAGGCAATTTGTACATGTAAGTAGTAGACTAACCTAGTACAATTCACCTTTCCCACCTTCATGTTGTGAGTATATGTAATTGACCTGACACTTCGATCTTTTACTTCCAAGCTTCCAACATTATAAGTAATTCATTTGCTTATGACACGGCTCAAGCTTCTTATAAGCATCAGGTCTTGAGTCAATCGATGATTAATGACGCTCTCTGGCTCCCTGCGTATTCTACCTAGCACATAACAGTTTGCTTCTAAAACAATGAATGCGCTTATAACGCCATGCTGTTTCGACGCGTGAGGAGGCAAATGTGCCTCGAGTAGGTAGGTATTGATAGAAGGTCAAGATGAAACAGATGTGTAATTAACAAACAAATAAACACGCACAACTTTCGAACTTAGAAGGCAGTAGAGCGTTTACTGCCTCTATCTGCGGATATCCGGCCAACCCTAAAACGGCGCCTCATCAATAACAACTCTGTAACGTAAGATCGCGTCTACGTCCCCAAACATGTTACTGCGTGGACACATCCGGCTTGCGCAACACTTTATGGGAAAGCTCTAGTACCGTTTCCAGTCGGACGAACCCATGGCTTCCCCAAAGGCGGATGCCCTTCGTCATCCATTGAAACTCACCTTGTCGGGGATGACGAGAGACATACTCATACTGGCTTCGTTATTCACGGCCTTAGCTGCTACATCCAAAGCCAATCTAAGGCCAATTTCTGAGGCCCACGAGACACCCCTCACGAGGTTCTGTGGCAATGTACATCCAAAACATTTCGAGGGTGGGCGACCTAGGTCCTTCTAGACGGATCACAAAGCAAGGAATTCTAAGACAAAAGACTGGCTGTGCAGAATCGTTCATATTACAAGTGGTGGGGCCCTGCAATCTTGGTGTGTGCCGCCAACCATCCGAATCCTCTCTAGGACCCCGGTTCGTAAGCGCCGACTGGACCACGACTTTTAGACTACAGCCTATCAAAGTCACGGACGTCTGCATCTAAACCATCAACGCTTTCTATCTCAATGTGAGCCTACGAGTCCCAAAAGAGTCCCAAAAAGGTCAGCGCGCCCGCTCAGCTGCTTGAGCCTAAAAGGTAAGTGCACAAGGTAATTTCTTTTCACGTCTTCCATAAAGGTGTTATGCATCTCATGACCTCTTGCTTTCTTTGCTGCTCTCTTATTAGCTCTCTTATTTCCTACCAACCGCTGGCCGTTTTTCTTCCTATTCAGCGCGGCATGAAGTCATCATGAAGGCCTTAGGTGGGATGCTTGCTGAAGCTTATGCATCATGGTCTTTTTCTATTTCTGAGTGCTGTTCATCCTTTACTTCTTCTTTTCACTCTGATGAGAAGCCTCGCCAACCTGGTAAGCTTTGGAATATGCAGAGACAGCAGCAACATCATTCTCTAACTAGATCAGCTGTTCCCGACTCATTCGGTATTATTCATCAAGAACCTTCATTTGTTCCGCCTCCTTCCGCAGCGTCGTTTAGGCCAGGCACAGGGAAATCCAGCTTGGAGCGGGCTCCCAGGAAAAGACATGGTTCTGGACAGAGCAGCTTCTCTGCGAGAAAGCTACTGCTCAGGCCGAGTTCATCATCATCGCGCAGGCCGCAAATATCAGCTCCTACCAACTTCCGCCATCTCTATTCGGAGTCTTTCCGCTTCCCGGACTATGGTCTCACACAAGTAAGACCGCAGCCGGCTTCTTTTCGTCCTCTCGAACTTAGTATATATATGTCTGATAAGAGACTTTCGCCAATCCTCCCTCACCTTGACTCCCCTGTACCCCCGGTTACGCCCCCTCAGCGTGTTTTTACCCTCTCAAGCCGTAGTGAAGACAGCCCGCAAATTCCGCATTCACGCAGCTACTCATCTATGTCTTTTCATATCCCTCGGAGGCCAATTAATGATGGATCTGTGTTCGACTCTCCGCAGTCAGACATTAGCACGCCCCAGCGACCCCAACCTGCTAGACTTAGAAATCGCCCGTCACCGGCATCATCAAGTCCTATGATGGAGGATCTTGTTGAAAGGGTTGCAACTGCTATGTTAGAACGGGACAAGCTACAGGAGCAGATTGACGATGTAATTGAAAGGCAGAGCATCTACGTCAGCAGCCGTCCGTCAACTGCTCATGAACAACCTGGTCAGTGATTTTACATTTTGATAATATTAAATTACGTACTAACAGGTTTATAGAAATGGTTCCCATGCCAGACATTCCAGCACTGCCTCCAAATGCTCCCTCGTTCAGTGAACGTCTTAGTTCCGACCGCCCGCACACTGCGCCATCCCAGACCTCGGCGCGCACGTCATATAAGGCTAACTCATCACGCAAGGTGGAGAACAGGGTTCCTCCTCCACCATTGCCACTTAGACTTAGACCACCTCTACGCAAGAAGAAATCCTTTTCGCGGGTTTCTACCTGGTTATTCCCTGGCGGAGAGCCCAACCGAGATATCAGTCTCGACTCCCTCACCAATGGCCCAAGACCAATAACTGGTACCGACGGTTTCTATCAAATCGATGATCTTGAAGAAAATCGAAGGTGTAGCGTTGATACCCTATCGACAAACTCAGACTGGACTATTGAAGAAGAGCAGACTCTACCTACAAGCTTGTCGCCTAGCAGTACGACAACTCTCAGGGCAAAGTTGGAGCCTTCAATGGCGATCACATCTGGACTACGACACCCGATGGCCTTCCAACAACGACAGAGTGTTGGTGTTGCTGTCTAATTTCTATTCTTCTGTGTTATAGCATTTTATGATACCAAGCGGTACTAAGGGACCGTGCGTTTGTTCATTTCATGCCGGAATAAGGCATAGTATTAAGCGGGACATATAGATTTGGAAGGAAAAATCAGCATCTAAAGCAGGTCCTGGTCATGATGCTGGGGTAATGATAGAATTAGGGACCATAGGAGCTTCTAGCCTCTGAGGGGTCTTAAAGCGGGCTGGTGGCATTGCGCGGATGATACCCAAACAGGTAATGGGAGTGAGGCTATCTCATGTTGCAAGTTGTAAATGGTTTAATCATGGAGTCAAGTCTAATCTGATACTTGGTTCTTGTCTTGGATGTTGTACATATTTGAATAAACCTAGCGTTGAACTCATAATTGATGCGTTCAAGTTTGTGCTACATCTCTGGTTAGAACTGAACTACATTTACCCGACCATACATACATCTATACCTAGATAGGTACCTAAGGTACCTGAAGCAAACAACCGTCGATCACATGCATATAACACTGCTGCGGAGCTGTAATACTGCAGCGTTAGGTAGTTACATAATCTTCCTATAATTGCACCTAGCTAAGGTAAGGCTTATGCATGTTGGGGTTGGGATGTAGATGTTAACGGGCCGGCAACAGCTGTAACAGCTGTAACAGCTGTTATCCAGTCAGTTACCAATCAGTTGCCGTCTCACGGACTAAGACGGCCGCACCCAAGCACAGGTTCCTGTGGAAAATCGGCAACTCATTATGTACAATTGTTCATTCACTTACTCAACTTCTTTTCCTGCCACTTGCAGCGTTAAATATACCACAGCATCGTTAATTTATTAGTTGCACTTTCTTCAAATATCGTCAGGCATACGGCAATGAAGAAAGGTCGGTTCTTTCACTCTTTTTCACGATGGTCTTCACCGACTTGAAACGCCAGCTGACGGCCTTCGTGGCCCGAGGCTCATACAAATACACTCTGCTTCCCAAAAATGCCTCCCGCAGTCAGATGCAAAAGCACGCTACAAGTTGGATTAATCAACACATCTTTACTGTTAGGCTTGCTCTATGCGCCTTACTTTCGATTGTGATAATCACATTCTCGACAACTTTTATGTATGTCAAGTACGTCTCGGGGGGAAGGGGAGGGGTTGCCATAAATAACTCACTTGGCTAATCGCGGAAATTCACTTAGGCAATCTATCTCGTTACAACCCTGCAGAGGCTTTATACATGATCGTCACTGCAGAAAGGAGGTTTCTCGTTTATGGGGACAGTACTCATCTGTATTTTCTGCCCCTTCGGAAATCTCGCCAGCCATCCCAGAAGAGTGTCATGTCACTTTCGCGCAACTGCTCTCGCGCCATGGAGCCCGTGACCCCACAGAGCATAAATCCTTGGCTTATGGGGCGCTCGTTGAACGTATTCACAGCAGCGTGGCGAATTACGGAAAGAGCTTCAAGTTCATCAAAGACTACGAGTACACCCTCGGTGCTGACCAACTCACCCTGTTTGGGGAGCAGCAAATGGTGGACTCTGGCATCAAATTTTATGAGCGATACCAACATCTGGCCAGCACTAATTCTCCCTTTGTGCGTGCTTCTGGTCAGGAGCGTGTTGTTGAGTCAGCGCAGAATTGGACTCAAGGCTTTCACAGGGCACGATTGGCAGATGAGCATTCTAACGCCCCGGATACGTACCCCTATAATATCCTAATCATCCCCGAGAGCGATGGCTTTAATAATTCGCTCAGTCCCAACCTTTGCCCTGCTTTTGAGGATAGCCAACATGACAGCCACAGCAAACAGGATACCTGGACAGAGCATTTCGTGCCACCCCTAACCAAGAGGCTGAACGAAAACTTGCCTGGTGCTAACCTGTCCGACGAAGAGGCTATCTATATAATGGATTTATGTCCTTTCAATACCGTCGCTGATGACAAGGGAAAGCTGTCACAGTTCTGCTATCTATTCACGGTAGATGAGTGGCAAGATTATGACTATTACCAGACTCTGGGCAAGTGGTACGGTTATGGGAATGGAAATCCTCTTGGACCAACTCAGGGGGTCGGCTTCGTCAATGAGTTACTTGCAAGACTTACTGGTCAGCCCGTTGTCGATCACACCACCACTAATTCAACACTGGATGGGTCTAACTCTACCTTTCCTCTCGACCGTGTCTTATATGCCGACTTCAGCCATGACAACGATATGATGGATATATATGGCACCCTGGGCCTATATAATCTAACAGATCCACTGCCTGGGGACCGAAGAGTTGGGCCACGGGAAACTAAGGGGTTCTCGGCTGCCTGGGCAGTTCCGTTTGGCGCCAGATTATACGTAGAGAAGATGTCGTGCGGAGGAAGCAAAGAAGAGTTTGTGCGAATTCTGGTTAATGATCGAGTGATACCCCTGCAGAACTGTGGCGTTGATGCGTTAGGTCGCTGCACGCTGAGCAGGTTTGTTGAGAGCCAAAGTTTTGCGAAGAACGGTGGGCATTGGGACCAATGCTTTGCGTGATACCTTTAAGCTTGTTTATCTGCCAAGACATATGAATGATGAATGGAATGCTGCATTTTTCATCTTTACATCGTGGCCCTGCTTTAGTTGTTTTGCTTTCATTGCCTACCTATCTAATGTGTACAATCGTGATTCGAGACAAAGTTGCGGGGTCTGCTGAAATACAGAAACTGCACGTTCCCAAACAGAAAATATATTTGATAGTCCGACTATGCTCGTTCTCATCCCGATATGACAAGTCAAATATACTAATAATAGCTGTGGTCAAGGGCCAAGGGCCATGTCGTTAAACCCTCATATGGCCCGATAGACATTTGTCACCGAGCTTGGAGATTACTGTTATAAGGCAGAATTTCTGCACAAATCGTAAGAGAACTGAGACAACAACAAGGCTTAGGAGTGGTGCAATAACATGACCATATGTTTGATAGGTTTGATAGGCTTGAATAGACTCTTGGAGTGAGACAACATTAACAGCTATTGGGGCTTATCGGTACGAATTTCCTCCCAATTAAAACTACCTAATCTTATACTACCTACATACCTATGCATCCTGTATGTAACCGGGTAACATTACCTAATGCTAAGAATATTCCCCCAATCTGCACAGGCCATAACCGTTTAAGTCTAACGTCTAACGTCATTCTAAGTGGAGACCTTCTGGACCTACCTTCCCCCAGTCCCATAGCTGACTCCACTGAAGAAAGCAGGGGCTAGCACCTAAATCGGGTAACTCGATACGGTATCCATGCCATGCTTGCATGCCCATAACCACGCTAAGTTGGACCCACCGAAAAGACCCAAAGCTTCAAGAGACCCGCAGCAGCACCCGATGGCAAGGATGGGCAAGCAACAACGCCGCAACGCCGCAACGCTGCCGGAAAAAGAATGTCATCAGCCTCAACTCCAACTTCGCATTGTAAGACATACTGACGACTAGATCCTACCTCGCTACCTCTTCTGTCGACCTATTGTCCACGGCCCACAACACCTTCTACCTTCTATCCCTACCTTACGTAGTTTCGCCACTCTTTCCATCTGATCTTCCCGGCCCTGTCGACCGCCGTGTTTTTTTTTTCTCTAGACGATCCCCAACCCGACAAACATCCCGGACCACACCCGCGACCGAAAATGGTCAGCCCTGTCGGGACCTTCTTCATAGTCCTGGTTGTGTTGCTGATCGTAGCCTCGGTCGGCTGGATCGTCTTCACGCAGCTGCGCGCAAGGCGGTTAGGCGTAAGTGCCCCCCCCAATTTTCCATGCCCTCTCTTCCTCCAACCACTACCTATCATCCACTGCTGTCTCCTCTTCCCTGATCACTGCATCATGCTTGTCTTACTTGCCGGGCATAATCGGAGCCATACTTCATGTTCCTCTCTAGGTAGTTAGCCTATCTTAGGTAGTATATGACTACAAGCTAACAGATCCTCGTCGCGACAGCTCCCTGCCCCACCTCTCTCATCCTACATCCCCTTCGCGCGCTCCGAACCCTCGTCCTCGTACGGGCCACCGCAGCCGGCGCCGGGTGGTATTCGTAGCTGGGTAAGCGACAAATGGCGCGCGTTGCGCAGCAGCGCCAATAGGTCCGCGAGCGGCGCGTACGAGCGCCCGTCCCGCCGCGGTTTCGGACCCCTCGACCCGGACGAAGCCTGGGACTCACGCGTTGGCCACGAGGCGGACGGGTACTACGGCTACGGCTACGAAGAACAGGAACTTGGCCTGCGTGGACAGGGACTACGCCAGCAACAGCAACAACAACATGTGAATGGCACCGGATACAGCAACGTGAACCTAGCGGCCGATGAGCGAAGAGGACGTACGTTAAGCCGCGACCAGGGTGCGCCTATTGGTGGCAACGGAAACGGAAATCTGGGCATTGGAGGTGGCCGCAATCCGTTCGATGACGACGCAGCTGAGCCTAGCAATATAAGCATGAGGGGCGTGAGTCCCCGGCCAATCGACACAAACGTCGCGGCGACCAAGGCGATTGCAGGGGCTAAGCACGATAGCCCGACGTCAGAACGAAGATCGATATTCAGGGAGGAAGTATAAGGGCTATGGTTTTCTTGCTACGCCACGCATTGCACCTTGTTTTTATATTGTTTATTTGTGGTTAATGTCCACCTCGAGATGTTTCCGCGTTGCGCGGTGCAGGATTGAGATAATGTGTACGCTACATGCCACCCCCTTCTCCATCGACGGGAAAGAGGGCCGGTTAATTTGTTCTCTGTCGAAAAGAGCTGGACTACGTAAGGGGGGGGTAAATACGGAGTTCGTGTCTTGAAGTGGACATCTTAGTCCGAAGGGTATTAGGCCTTAGGGCGGAACCTTGAGGAAAGGGAGTTTGCGGCGTTTTAGGCTCGTTAATAAGGAAAAGGGGGAGAGGGTTGTTTCGTTTCTGCGTATACTATACCTATTCAGGTCTCCCCAAAAGCCACAGGCGTTACTGGAGGATGGTTTATTAAATATACAATGCGGATGCGGCATCGCATTTTTTTTCGTGGCTTTGCTTACACCTCCATTTCTCTTGTCTTTATGAAATAAAATGTGCTTGCCTCCTAAGTCTCCGTATTGGATAATGTAATTATCCCTCCCTTTAATAACCATGGGAAATAATTCTGTATAAATGTCAGACAATATGGCCACCTCGTAGGGTAGCCGCTGGATAGCAAGTCTATCGGGAAGACACCCCTCCCCCCTATTCTCAGAGGCACGTAATCATTAATGTATAGTAGTCCCCACGAAGAACGACTCCAGAGCCAACAAGAACCCTAATCTATATATTTTTAAACATTAAACCAGGTTTTTGCTATCTTAAATGCTCTCTCAAACTCATTTATATCTAAGAAATATTTCCACGGGCTTAAGGAAACGTGAACAGCCCGGCAAGATAAGTCAAACGCGAATGTCCCTGCTCGATCGTTATCACCCGTCTCTCGGAAAATGTCAACAATCGTTAAAATGTCTAAAACAAATACAGCGAAGAATAAGCCCAGAAGAACAAACTCAAGGGAGGCGTTGCTGCTCCACTTCTTCAGGAACCTAGAAGTTTTGCTCGGGAAGAAATCCTGATCTCGATATAACCGACGAAATCCCTCGAAGACGAGACCCAGGATCGGAGCTAATGCCACGACAGTCGAGATCCAGAATATGGCCACCAGTAAATCTCCGTAGTAGACGCTCTGTTCAAAACCCGGGTCGCCTAGCAGCCAGTCCTTGGAGCACAGCTCAGCCGAAGAACACGAAGAAGCGCCAGGAGCGGCGTCGATCCTGTCCTCGTGGCAGTCGTATCGGGCATAGCGACCCCTCCCGAACATGGACACAATGTCCCCGTAGTATAAACCGAAAACAACGCAGGAAGCGATCCATTGGGCCACCGTCAGGAGGTACAAGACCCACATTAGGACTCGATGCGGCGTCGAGTCGGGTTCAAAGGCGCACTTCACGGGGTGGAAGTGTAGTGAGCGTGCGTATCGCCACACCGTGACCCAGTTCAACACCGACAGGGGGACAAAGTGCAAGGGGTTCGAAGCCTGCATGAACATGAAAAGGCTAACCCACCAAAACGCAACGGTTACGGTGTCAAATATCGCGAGGACCCAAAAGATCTTACCGAGACCCTCGCCGCACTCGTCGGGATCGGAGGTAAATAGCTTGAACATCCACCACGAGGCACTCCATATGGTCATGGTGGTGAGCAGCGTAGTCGTGAGCGAGAGCGTGTAGAAGGCGGCAGGCCGCGGCGTCGATGGTATCACCTTGAAGCCGCTTAAGCAGCTGGCAACATCACACCACGTGTATCGAGCTCCTTCGTAGTCAGACCGGTCCGCCGGCAGCCACAGCTTGACCATATAGTTCTCGCTTGGGTTGGGTGAAAAGTCGGTAAACCCTCGACTGTCCGTTGCCAGGTTATACTGTAGAAATGTGCACTCGACGGCGGACGAGCTCTGGCTGGAGCACTCCTGGAAGCGAGTGTTTTTATAAAGCTGGAACTCGATACTGTCCGGGTCGATGCTAGCACTATTATCTTTAATGGCTAGGGTGTATATGACGAGGATGGCGACTAGAAGTCCAGAAAGGACAATTGGCATAAACCAAAACAACGACTTGAAAAGAAATGAACAGGCTCTAGATTCCTCTTTATCAGTTACCTCCATCGTCTCGCGCATAAATGCTGCACTGTAATGGTACGGGTCCTTTTTCCGACGACGACGACGCCGGTCTCTAGGCTCGTAATGGTCTCTTGCCGACGGCATCAGGCCGGAGTGTCGAGACATGATGCGAGTTCAAGAGGTACGGGGGTTGATGGGAGTATAAGTTGAATGCCACGGACGTTACCCGCTGTTAGTCTGGGGAATAAACACACCCTGTGTAGTCTAGTATTTGGAGGGAAAGAAGGGGGGCTAGAGGAAACAAGACAATATAGAGATCTTCCTATTCTTATAGATATCACATAAGTAGAGAACCCCTGTATAGCTGACCAGTTTTGAATTAGTTTGTGATTTACGTTACTAGGTAGTCGGCGGTGCATGCGAAGCAACGCTCAAGAAGAGTAATTACAAATAATAAAAAGACTTTAGACATTGAAATTAAACTAATAAGGCTGGTCACTCCAGCCCATCATCTTAATCGTTGAAAGTGTAACCCTACTCTTCTCTAACCGGAGCGCTAATAGAAACATGGGGATTAGAATGAAGGATTTTTATAGGTGGTGCGACATCGCAACCCTTCCTTCAGCCGCACCCACGACACACAAATTATAAACATATTCCAAACTTGGGAGACTTTCCCCCACTCCTAAGCCCCCAACTACTACCCTTAACCATCTCTAGCTCTACCTGTCGCTTCAGGACTAGTCCTCTCATTCTAGTTACTACCTACCTAGTAGGTACCTAGTATAGGCATTTCTTATATAAGAAATTAGAGGCAAGGTGCTGCAGAGAATTGAGAGGGTTGTTATAAAATGGCCTGCAAGGCAGCCGATATTGGTAGTCTCAAATATTGACCGATCAATCAACATAGCCTCGCCAAGTCCTGATCATTAATAATTGTAGACCTAACTGTCTCTTCTCGCCAAGCCATTATTTACGCAGACATCAGTCATTTATAGTAGTTGGTTCATATAGAATATTAATTCTTAGTCATGTGCCTCTATAGTTTAGGTTGGAGTTTCTTACGGAACCCCGAAGTTGTTTCCATGCCTTCTAGGCTCACCTCATGATAGGTAGATAGTTTCTAGGTTCTTCTTATATCACGATACGTAGTTTCTTCCTATATATAACTATTCCTCTTGTTATGTATAACAAGACATCATAATCCTTAGGTCCAAATGTTTGATATTAGGCGCAAGTTATCGGGGTATATTACTAGCTAGTGACTCTATCAATTTTAATACTTGCTTCTTAAATGTTAGTCAGAATAGACCTTCGACCTATTTTATATAAGATACAGTAAAAGGATATAAAGACAAGTAACACCAAAGTTATTACTCTATCCTTAATAACTACTCTATTCTATTCAGTACACTATGAGGTCTAATGCATACATGATCTATGGATGAAATCTCGAAATGAATCTGAATGATATAGTTCCATGTGACGATAGTCAGTCGCTTTCCCTCTTTCTCGCTTTCTTGGAACCAAAAATAATATGACTGAGTCTATACCAATCTGAACTCTATCAATTCTCTCCCCGCCCAGAACTCTTCGTTCTATTCCTCAAAAACAAGCGGTCGAGTTCTTATATGGCATTGACTTATAAATAGATAGTTGTCTCCATAAGGTCGCACCACACTAGCTTGCGCAGCCCCTTTAAATAGGCATACAAGGTCCCCAGTTTGTAATTCGGCATCTTGCCTCAGCAATCGCACAATAGTTCCGTTGGAAAGTAGCATAACTGTACGACTAAAGTCATCCGCCATAGAATATAACAGAGTATGCTCGTCTCTGTACATTTTCTTCTTTGACTTCGAGGACATTTCGTTATGGGTGTCGCATAGTTTGCGAAATGTGCGTCGGTACTACTCAAGGCCCCATTGGTTAAAGATGATTGCGTTCTTAGCAAAACCATCCAAGCACTCCTCGACAGTCATCCCACTCATTCCTGCCGAAGGTATGAGAATTTGTTCCTCCATCTCTCGAAGACGGCTTAGTAGAGCTTCGGGCATTTGCTCAAGTGGGCAGGCGGCTACGTCGAAAGACCAGTCAACGTGATTTTTATGCGTTCCTATTAGGATCACATGAAGAATTAATGTCCGATTGTCTGATGAGATAGACACGGATGGCTGGCATTTAAGTCTGTATTCCAGATATTTCCGATAATCAAGTTCCAATTTCAACATCATTTGCCATACACCCAAGAAGCCGTAAGTCGCCAGTTGAACGCAGAACATAGGCCGTGCATTTCCAGTAGAGATCCTCGTACGGCTGATTATAGTCAGGCATTAACTCGGCTGGTATATCCTTTCCTAGAAATTCAAGAAGACCTAAAATTCCGTAAATGTGGCCCCGAGGATCCTGGGGTTCCTTATCCTGTGTTTCAACCAACAGCCTTGCAAAAACCTCCGGTGTTGTCATCTTGCTCGGGTTGAAATCGCTATAGCTATTCTCGTAAGTAGAAAAGAACATTCCCTGAATCCTTTGTATCGCCTTTATCCTTTTCGCCCCTGTGGTAATTAGCAGAGGCTTGTAGATTCCTGTAAGTGTGTCCACTAAAATTTCTAGTTTTCCCCAGAGTATATGATGACGGCCGATATAGAATGTAAGAGCTGGAGATATGCAAGCTTCTTGGATCGTCCAAGTCCTTGAGAACCATGGATTCACCAGAATATCAGCCGTTATTTCGAGGAGAGCATTATATGAGCTGCCAAATACTCCCCGTAGGACTCTTTCGTCGTCGCGGCTATCAGCGGGCATTGAAAGCATAAAAGACGAAAACTTCTGCATTACATCTTCTATTCCGTCGTCTTCTATTGGCACTGTCGGCGGGGTGGGTATGAGCCAAGTGTTGGAGTGGAGGTGTCGAACTACTGTCTTATGAATCTTGTGGAACATAATGAAGTAGCCTACTTAAGTTGAATAAAAAGTTCGTAGAATTTCTCAAGGTCTAGTAGGCCTTCGAAACTATGTTAAATATCAAATACGTTGTACATATGTGGGCTTCGTAGCGCAGTAGGAGAAGCATTGGCAACCAATTACTTTCTACCTTAGGTAGCTATAGCCGCCTACCAATCGACTTTTTCACTGTTGGGAATATACATCGGAGGCCTTTATAATTTTTTACCAACAGTCTAACAAGTTCCTTAGTCGAAGGCATCTATCTCTAGTAGATATATCTTCCTAAGTTGTAGTGACAGTACTTGAGGGAGCAGCACACCTCAGATTATAAATATTATATTCCAATACATTTCTTCCCATTAGCTTCCTAGATCAATTTAATTTCCTCTATATGCGCACTAGCCCAGAAATCATCGTCTAATATCTTTTCCTCAAGAGGTCCGCCTCCCACCCTACACTGGCCTAGGAAGGTAAAATTCTCGCCGGAGGCACGCAATATGCTAGGTCGATCAGACCCCTTAAACAGGCATATTAGATCGCCGGTTCTCACCTCAATATCAGTTCTTTGAGCGTGGAGAATTGTACCATCATGGAGTAATAAACAAGGTCTTATGAAATGGACGACGAATGAGACTTCTATCATGCTTATTTTTTTCGTCCATTTTTTCTTTGCGGTTCGTGACCTTCTACTCCTACGCGAATCACGCAGAGTGCTGTAGACCTCGTAGAACAATTCAGCGCTCTCTAAGTGAATATACCTGCTCACATTTTCTATCATGTTGTTTAAAGCCTCTTTGATTGTTATCCCTCTCATGGATGCCGAGGGTTCAAGGATGTGCTCCTCGAAAGCCTTTATGCAGTTCGTCAACTCAACCGGTATTTTCTCACGGCGTGGCGCTATAGTATTCTGGTTAAGTCCATTGAGGACACTGCGGAATGTCCCCAATATGCAACCCTGTAGATGTAGAATCCTTTTGTCAGGTGACACATATACAGATGGTACAAATGCCGAGGGGCCCCGGCATACGTAACGGAAGTCAGTGACCCAGGAGGGTACACCTTGGAGCTCATTGCAGCTACAGTCAAGCAATTTTAAGTCTCCAGCTGACTGAAACAAGAATGCAGCATAGGCCCAATACGTCTCGGCACAGGACAGATGGTAGTTCGGCAATAACTCGTCTGGGAGTTCTTCTCCTATGATATCCTTGAGTATACCTAGTAGACCGTATACTTGATCCCGAGGATCCGTAGATTTTTTGACGTCGACAGCCATGAGTATTTGAGAAAAGACCTCCACTGTTCTCAATCTCCTTGGGTTGTCGACTTGGTCCCGGCGGGCATTTATATATAATTGATTGATACCCTGTATGGCGGCAATTCTCATACTTCCTGGGGTGATGGAAAGGATTCGGTTCTTCTTGGCGAAGTATGAAAAGAATTCTATGAGATCATCTAGGAATACGCTGTGATGTCCAACATAAACAATCGGTTTTTTATATAGGCAGGCCTCCTGAATCGTCCATATCCTCTCAAACCACGGCCGACGCAATATGTCATCCATCACAATCATGACTGCCCTGTAAGCGCGACCGAATGTTTCATTTATAATCAAGTTGTCATTGTCATCCACAGGTTCCCATTCCATCCACATTGACCTAGCTTTCTCGAACAAGATCCCAATCGCTTCGTCATACGATATTTGAGACTTGGGTGAGCGGGCATTTCGTAATGACTTTTTGGGTGAGCTCTTTGTAGGTATTCTGTGTATGGGCCCAAGCCAAACGACGGTAAAGCCAATACGATATATATCAGTCATACGTTGTATTTGTTGAGACCTTTCTTCTACGTCTTCTTGGTTGATACAGATGGCGTCGATCCAGAAATAGTCATCGGGGAAACCAAGATCGTCGGGCATCTCTCTGATTTCGTAGAGAGCTCTAAATAAATTTCTCGTGACTTGAAAAGGTTCGCCTTCTAGTAAAATGGTCATCTTATCCGTCATATCGCCCCATACATAAGATAGGGCATTGAAATAACTCGGTGCCCATTCTCCGAGAGGTGTCCGTTCTTCAAGAGGTATCTGGTGAAGAAGGCATTCAATGGCGCCAGTTCCTGGTACGATGCGGAGCAGCCGAATATCTGTCCCCTCTAACTTTCGATATGGATATGCCGGCTTTGGGTACGGTTGTTTAGGTGGTTCGTAGTCTTTGTTCTCCTCAACATCGTAGTGAGTTATGTTTGAGATATCTTGCTGTATATATGATGATTTGAATTTCTGATGTTTAGGCTTATATTTAGGCTTATAAGGACGAGTTAGAGAATTGGCTGACATCACGAAAGAAGTATCTTAATGAATTCGGTGTGCTCTTAGTGCTCTTAGCTCCCATTGAAGAAAATATCACGCTACTAAAGTCGAACTTCCATGTTCACTTCTGTTTGTATTCAGACCGCTTCTGTCTACGTGTATATATTAGGTAGTGGTGGGCAGTGCACACGGCATCAGCAACCAATGATCTCTCTTGTATAACCGCCAGCTCTATTCAGCCTCACCAATCCTCGAATTTGGAACCAACAGAATGAAAGTAGAAAAAGCCATGGATGATAGCTTTGCAAGTAATAAGTCTATCTTAGCTAGAGTGTGCCGTCGACTTTTACTGTATCAATCGGCAATTAGTTCAACGTCCTTATAAGCTTCTAAGTACCGATTCTAAATTAAAAATATAATTATTTGCATAGGCTAGACATAGCTTCTAAGCGTGTATATCCACAATATTATACTCGCATTAGGCATATAACGCCTTGCATGATGTCAATCCGCAGCCCCGCTAGGTACTACATACATAGGTAGTAAGGTTCTACCCCTCTTCTCCGTCCTATGTATTGACAGGTCACATCTTGATAGCCTTGTCTGCTTGTCTGTCCCATCTCTGTGGGGAGACCCATAATACTGAAGCAAGCAAATATATAATTACCACTCTTATTATTTCAACCCATGGCTGGGAAAAAAGGAGGCGACGGTAGCAAGAAGGCCGCCGGCCAAGCCCGAAAAGCTGAGACCGCTGCTAACAAGGCTGCCGCAGAGAACGCGAAGAAGGCCGCGGAAGAGGCCGCCGATTGGGACAGGGGTGCTAAAAATAATTCCAAGAAGTGCGCTGCATACTTTTCCTTTTCAATTGTTCATTCATATAATTGGATTATAAGAGACAAAGGACAAACCTGACAAGCCATATGCTAACTTATATCCAGAGAGGCGCAGGAAGCAAAGAAGGCAGAGCAAGCCCGGAAAAAGGCCGAAAAGGAAGCTCTTGCTGCCGAAGAGGAAAAGAGTCTACCAACTCGCCCTGGACCTAAGAATTCCAAGACGGCCGTTAAGAAAACAAATCAAGGTCTCAACCTGTCTCAGCTTGATTCTCAGCTTGATGATGATAAAAAGCTTCCGGCGATGGAGGGGTCGGGAATGGATATCGCCCTAGAAATCCTAGATGCGGTTGTGCCGGGTGGACATAGAATGAACGTTGAGAGGCACGCCGATAGAAGGGTTAAGGCTGCATATGCAGCGTTCCGGGAAAGACGACAGAGAGAGATGAAGGAAGACGGAACTGGCAAAGGGTTGAATATGTATACAAGGGATGAAATGATCAAGAAGGAATGGAAAACTAGCCCGGAAAATCCAATCCATGACCCCCGGAATGTTAAGTACAACGCGAAGAAGGACGAGATCAAGGCAACGAAGCAAGAGGAAATGGACCGAATCGAAGCTCTATACGGCGAGGACTCTAAGTAGGGATTAGGGACCTTATGGGTTGAAAGGATATTGGCCATCTCATCTTTCTGAAGAGTTTTTTGTCCCTCGGGGTATGGCTTGGGGCAAACTCGTCCAAACCGGAGAACAAAGCCACATGCAAGTAGGTTGGCATATACATGGATTGTGTACTTCATAATAGACGTGTACTTATTATGTATGGTTTATGGTTGACTTTGCAGGATTGACTATGTCAACGAAATTTACAGGATATTCATATTCTAGCGTCTTCACCTCGCTAATTGAAACATTGACCTCTCCACTGGCGGATAGTGCGTTAGCATGCATAAGTCTAGTGAATACACCGATTCGTAAAACCCACTCCAATCCAAAACATCTCGTGATGATCACCTAAGCAGTTATTACAGCTTAAGGACTATGTATATATACGCTGTGAGAGGTCTCGTGATAGTGTAAAAACTCGAAGGCGGAGCTGTTGGCTTAAAATCGTATCGGGTAGACGGGCTAAGCTTCGGCAAGCCTCGGCTCGGGACTCGGGGTATTTGCAGGGGGTGAAGATGCATACATTATGTCAGTAGTGTACCTAAGGTATGTATAACTAACTAATAAAAAGGAAGTGACGTTCGCGGCTGTTCTACAAGGTAGTAAATCGCTTCGTCAGCGCAAAATCCGGGGCACCGCAAATCTCCATCCGTTTTCCCACCAACTTTCGTCTCTGCCGACACCCCCTCATCACACCCTTACGCGACACCCGAGAAACCTCACGAGGCGGACCCGATTAACATAGACATGTACTATTAACTTTTTTACTCTTTTTTATTTACGTAGCGTATATTGCATTATATCAGATACAAGGTCGGTGGCGTAGTAATGCCATCGGCTGCTGTAAATCATGCCGCCAGGTCCGAGTTCACATCTCAAGGAGAGGAAAATGCCAATACCATCGTCAGCAAAATGGACGGCGTTGCCAGGAAAGCTAGCAATGCCGTCACGGGGGCTACGGCGCGAAGTCCAAGCACAGATTCAGTCGATGGTAAACCACCGATAACAATGAAGGGGAAACGGCCGGATAAACATAGTATGGACTATGTCCTTCGTTCTTTTGTCGCTGGAGGTCTCGCAGGGTGTGCTGTATGTATTATTGTCTATCCAATGCTCAAACTGGTCGCGTGCTCACAATTTGTCTCCAGGCCAAGACTACCGTCGCTCCTCTCGATCGAGTCAAGATCCTCTTCCAGACCAGCAATCCGCAGTTCGCAAAGTATCAGGGTTCGTGGGCCGGCTTCGGGCTAGCGATACGCGACATATACGCTCGCGACGGAGTCTTGGGATTATTTCGCGGACACTCGGCGACCCTCCTAAAAATATACCCTTACGCCGCCGTAAAATTTGTTGCCTACGAGCAATACCGCGCCTTGCTTATCGGCTCAAACCGCGAAAATGAAACGTGGTTACGACGATTCACGTCCGGTGCGTTGGCCGGTGTGACATCGGTCTTCTTCACATATCCTTTAGAGATTCTTCGCGTGCGGATGGCATTTGAAACGAAGGCTACGCGACCGTCGCTTGTCGATATCTGCAAGAAGATTTATCACGAGCACCCTCTATCAAAGCCACCTGTTGTGAATACAGGGGCCGGGTCAGGTGTCACAGGGAATATAGCTACAACCGCAATAGCAACAGCGCAGTCCGTAACCCCTCGCTCTGGCCTGGTTAATTTTTATAGGGGGTTTTCTACAACTCTCTTGGGTATGGTACCGTACGCCGGCGTGTCATTTTTAACTCATGACACCGTGAGCGATCTCTTCCGTCTACCGTCTATTCGAAAATATACTACTCTTGCTAAACCTGCCAATGCCCCTGCCGATAAGCCTGCACCGCTTCAAGCATGGGCTGAGCTGATAGCCGGAGGGCTCGCGGGTGTTGTATCACAAACCGTGTCTTACCCGCTAGAGGTGATCAGACGGCGACAGCAAGTTAGCGGAGCTGTGGGGGATGGTCACCGTTTGCGAATAGGTCAGACGGCGGCTATGATCTTTAGAGAACGAGGGATCTCCGGGTTCTTCGTCGGATTGTCGATTGGTTATGTGAAGGTGTTACCTATGGGTGCTGTGAGCTTCTATACGTGGGAGCGGTTGAAGATACTGTTCAACATCTAGACAAAAGTTGTTCATATGATAGATTTGCGGTAGCATTATCGGAGTGTAGGCGTTTATGGCATATACCGTGCTTGGGTGCAGCATGACGAGTTGGAGTCTGGCTCGCGATGACTGAGGACTTGGGGTCCCTGTGCATAGGTATGGATACATGGAATAGCAAGGCATGACATAGAGAGAAGTATTATATACAACAATTGTTAGCAGCCCCTTTCCCATTGCATCTGTTTTAGTTTTGTAAATTACTAGTTTCTTGAAGCTTTGACAGTTAAGACACTGGTGAGTTGGAACTCACATGTGGAAATATATAACGGCCTAGGTGGCGTATATTGTCAATTCCCTTTCTATTTTTTATTTATTTTTTTTGCTTTTTCGTTCTGAACAAACCCCAACGCTCGTTTAATACGGCATTGCCGCCATGACTTCTCTGCAGATCTACTTCTGAGGCTAACTTCAGCCAGGAGATCCCCTTTATGAAAACCGCCTATGGTACGGTTGTCAATTTGACATACTCCAACTCAACATCATAGCAAAGTTCTTCCCATCCTAACAGATACATATATTGAATATGCCCAGACAATAGTGTATACGTTAGGAGTTCGGCGGCTGATTCTGACAACCTCGGTCTCGCGAGTCTGAACCCCGTAGATCAACACGACCTGGCGCGCTCTAGTATCTTAGTGGCGTCCGCCATCGCTGCATCTAATACAGCCCGGCAGGTCAGCTGGGCACAGCGTCATCCACATCTATCAAGGAGCGGCCACCTGTTCGCTCGACATTATCAAATACAAGGCTACCTACCGGTTCGGTTCCCTGGAGCTGACTAGGTGGCAGTGGATACGCGGGATGGTAGGTTACTCTGATCGACGAATAGCTGAAACAATGACCTCACAGCTTGCTTGAAAACCAGCTTGGTGCTGCGTATGTGTGAATGATCCCCCTATTGCACACACACAGTACGCTTTAAAGAGGACTTCATGGCTTCCCCGGGTTTTTGCTTTTGTTACTTATCTTATCCTTGTACCTAGCTAATAATATTATATATATATATATATACATATATATCACTCACGCGCTGGACGAGAATCTCAGAGTTGACATACGCCCTCCGGTGTAAGGGCTGAGGCGCACACACTCGATCTTCTCGTGTACTGACTATCGAATTCGGCCATACACCCGTCTATTCCATTTGACTGAAGTGATTGCTCTTAGGTTTCTTCAATCGACCTTTCAAACAAAGGCTTTCGCAACCTACATATACTCCAAGTCATACCATCTAATCCCTCGCTCATCATGTCCTCCTCCTCCTCCTCCGCCTCGAACCCGGCCGATCCGGCGACAAAGCCCACAGAGCACAACCAGGTAGTCGCGGACCCCCTCGCGCACTTCAAGGCGATTCCCTGGTGCGCAGCGCTCCTCTCGGACCCGGCTATTCTTGAAATCGGCGTGCCGGACCGGCGGCCGTGTACGTATCATCGAAGAACCAAGTTCTTATAAACCGGCTTTTAGTTAACTAACTCTTATGATCGTAGTACCCAACGGCGACTCCAGCCTCGTGCGCAAGACCATGAACAGTCCCACAACCGCCCGCGCATCCGTGACCTTTTATCGACTCGTCAAGTCCATGAAACCCAGATCATCCTCCTCCTCCATTCCTTCCTTCGGCGGCACCGGCGAGGTGTCTCCCGCCGGGGGCTCGGCCCCATCCGATAGCAATAAGAGCAGCCGCAGCAGCAAAGGAGGGGACAAGGAAAAGAAGCAGAAAAACGCGCTGTCCGCATCAGAAGCCCTCCTAAGCGGCGGCGGTAAAGAAAACGGCGAGAACCAGCGAAACCCGTTCGTGCTGTTCAACGCCCTGGTCGATCTGGGAGAGGACTGCCAGAGCTTCCCGGGCATTATGCACGGTGGTATGCACGGGCTGCTTATGGACGAGGTCATGGGGACGGCTGCGAATGCCCAGGCTGGTGAGTCTGCTCCCTTTATATCTCTCCCTTGCCTACCTACCTAACCTACCCCTAGCATGCGATAGAATCGGGTACGCTGCAGCAGACTACTAACGAAGAAAACTGTAGCAAACGGCGCGTATACGGTCCGTTTTACAACACATTATCATCGTGCGATCCGGCTCCCGCAGATCCTGCTGATCCGCGGGCGCGTGGTGCGGAAAGAGGGTCGGAAGATATACGTCAGGGGCACGTTAGAAGATAAGAACGGTGAGCATTACTTCCTGTCTTTTTCCCTTAATCGGGGAAAGGCATATATATATATAATATAAGCTGACTCGAATGCTAATATCTCACAGGAAACATCATGGCCGAAGGTGACGGGGTCTGGCTCGCCATCGAACGGAGGTCTGGCCAGAGCAAGCTATGAGCGAGAGGTTGGGCTAGTCTCTGGAGGTTAGACGAGCGAGGATTTAAGTCGTATATATTTGTGTTTACTTCATGCTACAATTTTATGCGCATATTTTTTTACCCAAGCAAGCGTTATACACATCATTGGCAGTAAATAAGTTATTTCTTTATATAGTCATAGCTTGAAGTATATACAAATGTATAAAAATGCCATCACAAGTTGACTTATATCGTGTAGATTGATTAGAGCCGCTAGTAACGACATGTCGTAAGGAATCGACGTGTCCCAAAGGCCTTGAGATATTAGACAACGGCTTATGAACGTAAGGTCGGCTTAACAGAAGGCGGCAACATCTTCGAGATACTTAGGCTCAAAAACTTACGTCCGCCTTTTATCCAACCAATATGGTCGAGACCTCATGATAGGAGCTTAGCACTGCCAAAAGAAGAACCCCCAAATATACATGAAAGTCATAAAAAAGCAAAGATATGAAATATTATATCCGTCTCATTAATACGTTATCACGTTCGCTCATTGATTAATCATCTAGTCTGCCTTAATAGCACTAAAAACACATGTTAGTAATGTTATAATTCGTCATAATATAATAGTAAGATTGATGCACTCACCCATATATCCTCCTGACGAATGCATACGCCGTCAGGAATCCCACGGTGCCAGTAAGAAGTCCGTACACACAGCACGCCATAAAGCTATATACGAAGAATAGCATGGAGCTCACGAAGCCCGATATATGCAGGTTGGCGAAGTAGTACCAGATGCTGTATAGAAACACCCATATGGCACTTCCGCCGCCCACGAAGAAGGATTGCCACCACCAGTGATAGTTCTCGGAGCAGAGCTGGACATAGATCGTCACAACCGTGACCTCGGCAATAGTCAGAACCAGGATAACGGAGACGACAGCTAGGAAACCGAAGACGTAGTAGTACCCGCTCTTATCCTGCCATAGCGACTGGAATACGAAGAGAAGCTCGATAAAAATCACAGCAAATGGAACTAGGCCGGCAAGGAGGATCGACTGTAACTTCTTGGTATACCAAGCTTGGTTAGGGACTTGGCGAGGGATGCTCGTAGTCTTGGTAGGATGTTCCCATGCGCCTGTGCGGACGAACCCATACCAAGAGCCCAGATATACTAGCGGGACCTGAATGCAAAGCCATAGTAGCACAATAGCTATCAAAGTTCCGAATGGTATAGCAGTGCTAGAAGCTTGCGCCCAAACGAAGAGGTTTAGTATAAAGATCAGACCAAACAGTAAGCCAGGAAATAAGAATGCCGTAACAAGAGCATTCTTCCCAAAGTCTTTTCCGTCAAAGGTCTTGTATACTCTTGCGGAGAAGTAACCAGAGAAGACGCCCGCAAATACGAAGAGGCCGAACCCAGCGCTAAGGAAGCCGCCGCGAAAACTAGGGTTCAAGATGCCAATAGCACTTAGCAAAACCAAACCAATGGCCATGAATAGAAGCTGCATGCCTGACCCGACAAGCGGAGCGAGCAGATGACCATACTCGGGCTTCCTAAAGACATCCGCATGTAAAAGCTTCCAGCCCGCGACATCCTCTAGCGCTTCATCATCGGATGTCACTTCTATTTCCTTATCCACATCGGCTTCTCTCTCGAGGACGCCAAATCCTGCCTTTTCAGATTTAGGACTACGCTTGCCAGGCTTTCCCTTGCGTAACTTGCCATCTTCGATAGAACCTTCCTTGCATCCTTTGATATCGGACCTGATCGTCTTGGCCAAGATCATGAGAACGATACCAGTGAGCAGGCCACAGATAATCAGGGAGTTGACAATAGCTAGCCAGTGGATTCGAGAGCCCTCCTCCGAGTTAACAAAGTATAAATCCCAACGACGGTTCCATTCGACCGACTCGTCTTCGCGGAAGTACACAGAATACGAGTACGGGATGGAGATGGTATCATCATCATCGCCTTCTTCGATCGCCGCGGGGTGGTAAGACGAGCGGGGATACTGCGTCTGGAAATCGGTCGTCTTATTTGGGGCCATGTAGAGTTCGAAGCGATCTTCAACATCGTGAAGATCGACAGGGCAGCCGTTGTCTCGCTTGACATTCGGGCCAATGCTTTTGGTATAGACCTCGAAACCGACGACTACTTTACCTCCCTTCTCGCCGGCTCGACCTGCCGCCGCCCTGTATCGAATAACGATGGTGTGATGGTTGTTGAGGAAGTAGCGCGGCTTTCCAGTGCTTGACGAGTAATCAGTAAAGCCGAGCTTAAAGCCGGCAGCATAATACTTTCTCGACTTGTCGACGGTAACGAAACTAGTGGCGCCGGGTAGATTGTCGACGATCCACTCTACCACGTATCCTTCCCTAACCAGCTCCTTAGCTCTCCTTAGATCTTTCCTTGTAACCACTTGCTCGCATAGAAAACTACATTCTCTGTCTTGCCCCATGGTAAGATCAATATCTGAAGTCATAATCCGGTCACCACGAAGAACTTCTCCGAGGTTGAGTGAGATGCTCTGGCCGCTTAGTAGACCGGGGCCGTGGCTTTTACCCGTGGGCGGGCAGACGAACGGAAGATCGTAGTAGGCATATTGTAGTTGCGTATTATCGGAATAGACTTTATTAACGAGTAAAGGAATGTGTTCGCCTTCCTTGTAACTCTTTACCGACCAACCTGTGTTCGTATAGAATTCGTTAGACGTCGCATACTTGAAGTGGGCGCGTCAACATAGACTGGGCGCCTAGATTCAGCTTACCCGGAATATAGAAAGCTTGAACTTGTGAGACTATGAGAATAGAAAGCAGCCATTTCAGACCATTCCTCAGGGATTCGCCCATTTTGCGTATATCCTCCTATCGCTATTGCGTCTCGAAATACATCAACTCGGTTAGCTTGGCAAGGTGTTAGACGTCTGGCTTTCGCCTAGCTTCACTACTTCGCGCGAGAACTTCTAGGTAGAGTTCCGTGTTATACGGTCTGCGGATCTGTCAAGTGACTGGAATGAATCACTATTTGTGTTGCGACGAGAACGAGAACGTCGCGGAATCCTATTGCTTCAACTCGTTTCGCGGCTGTAAATGAAACGCCACAAAGGGCGGTTAGAAGGATGGGTTTAAACGAATGTAATGGGTACTTAGTACCACCTAAAAGGACAGAACGATGTGAGGGATGATCTTTTAGCTGAAGACTGATGCTGACGCTGATCTTGCGGCACTGCTTTTAGCTCGTTGGGCTGATCTTACGGTACCGTACTCGGAATAAGGACTAACACGTTCTTTATTAGGAAAAAGTAATGTCGAGTCGAGACCGGAAGAAAGAGAGATTATGATTACTGTGGTACTGTCTAAGACATCGGGAAAAAGAAAAAGAAAGACACAGAACGGAGAGAGAGGAATAAGTACCCCGTTGTTATCGTGCCGGTTCTACTACAGAGGTATCTGCATATGTTACCTACATAGGTAGGTACCTAAGGTATTGTACAGTTTACGAAAGCCAGCCCCGTCGACCGATCGCGCTAGAATTTGGTTCTTGGCAGATTCCTAACCCCTGTACCCTTGTCCACCTCTCTACCTGTCACGTCTTTAGAGTTAGGTGTTACCCCCCGTCGGGTAGCTCCGCAATCAAGCTGTTATCTATCCGTCCCGGTCCATATACATAATAATTTATACAGTATAAACTACCTAGATCTCATATACGCTTACAGTGCGTAAAGCAGAGCGTAACCTAAACATCCTAAATATAGGCACATGACAGCTAGGTTCCATATGTAATGTACCTAACATACGTGCTATAATTCGTATTGTCAAACGCTTAAACTCACGGGTAAAAGTGCTGCTCTGCAAGAAAGTCAAAATAATCCCGGAAACGCTTATTCTAAACCCCAGTTCGTATCGTACCATACATAGATAGACCCGAAAGCTGATCCGTCAGCTTTAATTTACCACTGACAATCTCTAAACATGGCGTCACGGGGAATGCTCAGTCGGATCACACATGCAAGTCCAAGTAAATCGGGTAGTATCCAGAAATCAGAGAGCTTTTCTATTTAGGATGTTCTATTAAAGGCCTTGTGCAACATGGGGTATACCTCTCCACCGGCTATGCAACCAACTCCAACCTTGGTCATTCCGTCGTATGTTTTCTATGTACATTTCAGTTCACGTGTCTCCTCCTTTAGAGGGTGATAATGTCTAGCTCTGAGAAGTCTGGTGGCGCGCGGCCGTATACAACCCGCACTTTGCTGTCAAGTGCCGTGCCCTCGTTCGAAATCCAAATGTGTTCACTGAATTCCCTCGTTCTTCTTATTTCGTCGTCACTCACTCCTAGGTCGTCACGAGGAATCCATACAGTTGGCCGCTTTGCACGCAAGGCCGAGTGCATGAACGCACGCCTAACAAGAACGTCTCTTTCCTCAGGCATGAGATCCTCGATTTCATCGTGGAATCCGCCGTATAGAGCCTCACCGATGGCCCTCTGCGCCTCGAGATCCTTTCGTCGACGTTCTTCACGGTACTTGTTGACATTCTTAAACCCCTTCTCTGCCTTGCCAAATGTACGATCGTAGGTACTTTTACCGCCACGAGCTGCCCAGGTACTAGCGTGGACAATGCCCTTAACAGGCTTAAAGTTCGTAAATTTATTACCTCGCCCCGTCTTGTCATCAGCGCCATCCATAGAATTGTTTTGGCTCCCACTTTTGTGTCTCGGTAAGGCCTCCTTGTCGGATACATCGTCGTCACGATCATCAAGGCCTAGACGGCGGTCCTGTGCGCGCTGGAATGCTTCATCCCGCAGGACAGCTTCATCCTCGAAGGTAATCGGTAAATACCGAAATAATGGCCCAAAGGACTTATTTAGGAGGATTTGGTATATGGCGGTGAGAAAGATTGAGACGATCATAATGATAGCTTGCGGTGCACATGCAACTTCGCCGTTCTCGTCTCTAACAAGAAAAAAAAGGCCGACAAGACACAACTCCATTACGTAAAGCCCTGTGAAGGTTTGGTTGATGGCCTGCGGATATAGCACACCACCAGTGTCGATTGTGAAACGGTTCACGTATATCATGCTATATCTATTTGCCATCCACAGGAGACTGAAGGTGATGATGGCAAAGATGGAGATGATTGGGGCGACGACTGAATAGATCAGCGCGATACAGGCGAAATTCGTATAGACCGGGAAGGTAGTTCCCCAATTCACTTCAGGGAGCTTAGTATTGGTAGACCACTTATTCCGGGCCGTCTTGTTCATAATTCTCGCGATGATGTACCAGTTGATGAGAGCTCCAATTTGTAGTAACGTACCTGAGCTCACACTGAGGGCCTGAAGAATCATGTAAGAAAAGAAATAGTTTGCGGCCTTTGGTAAGTTTTCTGCTAGGAGATCCGCAATTCCGGTTGGGTTGTTAGCAATGTAGTCAAGTGTCTGGAGAACACCTGAAGCTAAGGAGACGACCAAGAACACCTGGACGAAGAGGAACGCGAAATAGAACTTCTGAACCGTTTCCGTTTTCTGAGATCCCGTCTTGGCTCCTTTAAAGCCAGCAAGGAAGCCCATTATAATTGGCACCAACCAGAGAAGTAGAGCGAGTAGAACAGCCGGTAGAACACCAGCAACACCAGATACCACATTATAGATATTTTTGTTCTCATCGATGAAACTCAACCAGGGAAATTCGTCTGTCAGCGTGCTAACTTGAGAGATCGAGGACGTGAAGGCAACCGGGAACGCCCATAGTAGGATCATGCCGGCGACAAAAGCCACGGCGGCAGCAGTCCGGAGCCACTCAGACCACCAGCTAATAGCCATGTTTTCCCAGAGCACGTCATTAGGAGATATCTCAACAGTGCGAGGGGCCATGTGCCTCGGAATATGATGCGTAACACTCTGGCAAGCCATATGCGCGGCGACTTGGTGATTGAATTGAATAAAAGCCGACTTCATCAGTGGATACCGTTCTGGGGTCTTCTGGTCGATGTCAATCTCCAAGTTCAACCTTGCTAGTTCCTGTCTACACCAATAGATTGTATCGACTTTCTTGTTGAGAAAAGGAAGCTCAGGTAGCCAGGAAGGGGTCCATTCAAATATCGCAAGACGATGAGTTGGTCGCTTAGATTTCTTAACCCACTTCTCCCATTCTGCTCCACCGTCCTTATCTTCTGTCCATTCCTCATTATAGGCTTTAGGGTATTCTACCGGCTCGAGCTCTGCGCCACCAACAAACGGAATGAATGACTTTATCTTTTCTAAGAGCGTCTTCTCTTTCTTAAATGGAAAGTCATCGCCTTCGTATCCTTGGGGGACGGGCGACACATATCCACCCGCCGGGGGCTTCCAAAACTGATACCATCGTATGGTTTCGTGTTGTTGCATATCCTCAAGGGTATCAGCTTTGCGGGTTGTATTTCCGAACTGTCGCATCTCAACGTTCTCTCCCTTTAGCATAGTATCTTGGGAAATCGAAGAGCCATTACGATAATGCTGTGTTTGTGATGCAGGCGGCCCCATAACAGGCTCTTCGGATCCAAGACCCTGACGATGGTTCGAGCTCTGGGTTGACGGCCTGGGAAGGTCTTTCTCGTCCGGCAGCTGAACACGACGGCGGTCCGATCCCCGCGTAGGGGGGGCGGGCGAAGGGCTCTGCGGCGTTCCTATTGCCACGAATCCATTTGTCGTTTCGATTTGACTGTCAATACCGTGGGAAATATTCTTAGCGCCTCCAAATATATCCTGTCCAGTCTTACCCATCGCATCAACACCCTTTCCAAACCCTTCAGTTATTTTCGAGAACCCACTTGCCACAAAGCTGCGCCCAGTAGATGGCCTATGGCTATCGTGTTGGTGGTCAGTCTTAACCTCTGCTTCAGCATCACCTAAATCATGTGGGACTTCGTGCCGGTCACCACTGCTTATGCCTTGGTTACCTTCGGCCTGCAATTTCGCTGCATCGTCCTCCCGCTTCTGACGCTCTTGTCTCTCTCCTTTGGTGGGTCGGTGGGATTTAGATATTTTACGCGCCTGTTTTTCATCCGCCTCCCTCTTCTTCAGTTGCTCTTTCTTCGCCATCCGAATCAGCTCTGTCTGGGCTTCCTCCAACTGTTTGTGGATTAGGTCACGTTTGGAAATCTTCTCTAAGAGATGTGTCAAATCTCGCGTAAGCCATACGTTTCGAAGTCCTCCTGGGAAAACATCAAAAAGGCCCCTGAGAGCCTCTTCATTCAGCCATTTGTCGGGAATACCGCTCACTAGGACAGTCGTCGCAGAAGCTCGTAAACGGTGTTCGGCAGTTGTTAACCAGTCCTGGCGGACTTTAATATAAACCCTCAATTCTGCAAAGAAAACACCGCAGACCCATATGATGACCAAGACTGCCATGACGAGATGCGCCCAATATCTGTTAGTCTGGTCCTTTCTCACATTGCCCCATGCCAACGTATCCAGCCCAGTAATGTTGGATTTCGGAGCGCTAGGGTCGCTGTAATCAGCGCCCTGGGGATCGGTAGAGTTGATGTTTGGATTATTTTCGGTAGTATTCGCTGAGAAGTTGCGACTGAGTCCGCCAACGTAATTGACTGGCACTAAGATCGGGATTATAATGACGGCCATCGGTATAAATATGACGAGCAAGGTTTGTAGGTATCGGAGAAAGAAGTACGCATCCAGACCACATTTCTTAATAACCTCGCGATCCGGGAAGCGAAACACGGTACTAACCAAGCCCCAAGGACTACTTGGTGGGGGTTCGGTTCGTTCTCGTTCTGGTACAAGGTATGTTTTGGGCTTGCTGTTGTACAATACAACTTATTAGCATGTAGTTTGGCAAAGAGTACCTAAGATTAGGGGGCTCGCATACAATATCCTAGATAGCTTATTTCTCAGTAACAAGAAGAATCCCGTCTGAACGCCAAAGACTATCAACGAGACGTTCAGAGCAGTAACAAAAGCTATCAGGGTAATGCCCTGATTACGCTGGGCCGTGCCCTGATCTAGGAAACACCTGTTAGCACCATACGCAAACCTGAAATTAATTGGTATAACTAATGGCATCGCAACTTACCCCCTTTGTCCGCCATGCTGTCACTCTAGGTCGTTAGCCAACCTAAAATCCAACCCGAGAAACTTGTTGCGGTGTCGTCCTCATACGTATTCTAAATAAACGAGTGGAGAGGGGAAATAGGGGAACGTTGAGTTTAGGAATTGCGAGGGGTTACAAACTATGTAGTATTTTGACGATGACGATTAGATAGGTTAGATTAAGTTATGTATGAGGCACGTATGTATTGTAGGTAGCGTAGGGAGGTAAATAGGTATGTAGTAAATGCTATGGAAGTTTTGTTGTGAACTGAACAAACAGGACAATTTCCACGTATAAAGATACAGGTGTAGGAATTAATTCAAGGAAGAGGAACAACGGCATTGTCGTAGTTCAGGTCGTCACGTAAAAAGAATTTGGATAATGGATAAGGAGGAGAAACCGGCGGTTACATTGAATTTAGAAGCCAAGAAGCTCAATCGATTTGACGAGACTTTGCACGATACATCAATGTCCTTGAAAAACCTGAATTGAGATTGACGAAGTAGAACAACACGTCTTAGGTACATGTGATACGGTAGCGTAGACAAGCAATGTTTGAGGTACTGATTCAGGTGAATGGTACATGATTCTCTGCAGATTTCTCCACATGTGGGTATGCTCCCTCCCGCTTGCATCCAATGAATGAAGCTGCTGCATGGTTGTACGGCAGAAATTAAAAGACTGATGTCAGAGGCGCCTGCTCTAAACGACTTAGCAAGCTGAAAACCCCTGAAACGTCCCACTTAGTAAGGTCCAAGTTCTTTTATCGTGTTGCCGTTGTGCCGTTATGCCGTTAAGGTAGGTAGGTACCTACCTAGTGTAATACCGGTTCATATTTCGGGCAAGCTACGGAACACGCCGGCTGTGATTGGGCCCAACTCACGCGCGGCTATTCTATTTTGCATTCTTCTAATTCAAGGACATGCAAACATGGTATAATAATTCAAGCGGTTACAATTACGGACCCGATTACTATTCTCATTGGTTTTGCAACGGCCCGCGTTTAGGTCGGATATTCCTAGAACATAGCAACGAGTGGTCGAGACATCTGGACGAATTATTGCTCAATGTGGCAATATACAACGATCAAAAGCAGGTCTTGGTCGTTAAAGAACGAAGCTAGCTCCACGCTTGCTTTGTAAGCTACTCCACCGAGTTGTCTAAGAAACGAATCTTGGCTTACTATGTACAGAACCTGATGCAATTGATTAAGCTAAAGCCAAGAGACACATCATCATCAAAACCCAACCTGAAAATTGACAGTTCAGGATAGGAAGTCCATGCTTGTTATTGATCTCGTTGAGGCCTCATCCAAGATCTACAGGAGTTAAGATTCACCATTGTACAAGTCTCAATGTGGTTCACAAAATACGGCAAAGCGGCACAGATACACTAAAGGGGGTCGAGTTCTGATATTACGTGCTAGGAGTACCGAGGAATCATGTCTTCTAAGGAAAATCCACATCATCTATCTGCGTCTTGTGTATTGTTCGAGAACTCGGATCGATCTATCGTTCTTATAGACATTCCACGTTCTATTGAAGAGGCTCAACTATTACCAGGACAAGTCCCCAAAAAACGTATTGTTTCCTCCAGTCCAATAGAAATACCATGGAAAACACCCGATCCCAAGAAAACAAGCCTAGAGCAGTTAGCCACACCCTCTGCAAGCATAGCTGAATTGATGGTCCAAGAAGCCGTTAGGTCTGCACTTGAAAAGGCCAAGCAGGACTACAAAGGACCATGGTGTTTACCGCGTGTTGTAAGGGATACAGGTAAAATTTGCGATGACAATTCATATCTCAAAGAGTTACACAAGAGGAAGCGAACTTCGGGCGAGGCGGCCGATATGGTATCAGAGTCTCTCATTCCAGATCAATCACACTACCTCCTAGGAACCATAGAATCCCAGCGGGGTGCCTTCATTGCAGATGCTCCCATGTTCGATTTAATGGTTCTTGATCCACCGTGGCCCAGTCGATCTGTAAAGCGGAAACAGAAGAGCTATACTATTGCATATGACATGCAAGAAGTCAAGGATCTCTTAACTCAGATACCTGTTGCATCGCACTTGAAAACAGACGGCCTTGTGGCTGTATGGGTCACTAACAAAGCTGCAGTTCCTGACTTGCTAACATCTCCCCATGGAATATTTTCTGAATGGGGCCTCGAACTCGTCGGGGAATGGACCTGGCTAAAGATCACCAGTTCCGGGGATCCAGTCATCGACTTAGAGGCGCAGTGGAGAAAACCGTGGGAGAGGCTATTACTAGGTAGGAAGAGAAGCAGCACGTTAAAGGCTCCGATCCCAAGCAAGGTGATCTTGGGAGTTCCAGATATCCACTCAAGAAAGCCAAATTTGAAGCTCTTGTTTCGGAACATACTACCGGAGAACTACACCGGACTAGAGGTGTTTGCGAGAAACCTCACCGCAGGCTGGTGGAGTTGGGGAAACGAGGCCCTATATTTTCAACAGGGCCATCACTGGGTAGACATAGCAGATGATATATAGAGACTTGGCATCGGACAAGTAATGATACAATGCCTTAAGACCGATCTTTTGCTTGCTTTGCATTGCTTTGCAATGTGTATCGTACACGCAAGTCTGGTCCAGGTCTTCCATAGTCGTACAGTCGTCCTCTCACGCCTATAGAATAGAGTCCTTAACCATTGCCCTTTCCCTCCTTCATGCTTGAGGATTCAAGCTTTTATTTTTCTTCTCATCCTTCTCGTGTTCATTCCCCACGATTGAACTTCGGGTCTAACTCCCTATCGTTTTCCCAGTTTCCATCCCTCAGCAACCTCTTGGCCTCCTGCTTCAGCAAAACTCTAGATTTCGGCGCGCCTTGCTCGTCTCTTAGGGGGAACGTGCCGGTCTTTTCAGCGTTCTTCCGCCACTTCTCCTGCCTCTCCTGCTCCTTGCGCCGCTTCTCCAGCATTGGTGGATTCCATATGGTCAGGTCCTCCGGGGCATCGAGCCACTTGAACGGCTGGTGCAGCTCCACCGTCATCGTCTTGACTGGTGGCGGCCGGTAGATGCGATGGTGCATCTTGGACTGCCGCGGCCGGCGCTGCGTCAGCTGCGATCGTACGCCTAGCACCGGCACATTATATGCGTGCAGCAGGTAGTCACGCAAGTCAAACTTGTTGAATGTTAGAGGTACCCTGAAAGAGGCGAAGTTTGGTGGTTGGTTATCTCGCGGTCGTAGGAAGGCGATCGTGTGATCGGGTCTGTGATGGGACCAATGTTAGCTGTGAAAGTAAGAGATGGCTAGGTAAGTCGGAAGCGCATACAAGAAGACTTGTTTCTTCCCTATCCGAAAGAACTTTGTCGCCATTGTGCTTCGGTAGCGACTACGGATGATATATAGAGATATAAGACTCTATACAAGACTGTCCACAATATTATCTTAAATTTAGCACATGCATTGATGAGTTCAATTCGTTCTCTTCGTCGGCAGGTGAAAATTCCGACTTCGTGGACCCACCTTCTAAGACGGGTACCCAATTGGTTTAGCTTTCAGTTATGTCTCCCCACCGTAAATAAAATAAATTACATATACGGAATACTTAGGTAATTGTATAGATCTCCAGGTTAAACTTCAAGATCACGGAGATGAGTACTTAGAAAAAAGCATTGAATTCGGAATGACGATAATAGGAATTTGAAGCTTCTTTTTTTTTTTTTTTTAATAAATTAATTTTACTTCTTTCGTTATGTGCCCAGCAAGATTTTGACACATTCACATATGCAGTGGCCCCTCCATCCCAGGCTCTTATCTCTTAGGTGCCTAAACATCAATACCGTCAACAACGATACCCTTAACCCATTCATGCTGCATGAATCGGGCGACTTCGTTCGCGGTATCTTCATCGACCAAAATGCTGACTAGATACAGAGCTGCATCTATGCCAGCAGATATCCCCCCCGCCGTGATGACCCGAAGCCCCCCAAGACGCATCGCGGCTCGGCGCGCAATGGACTCACGGCGTCCATTCGAGCCCTTGTATGACACGCTTCCCTTTCTATATCACCAATTAGTAGGTGAAAGTTGTTTGTACTTTAATATAAACGTACCGAGCTACAGATGGGCGTCTTCCAGCGTCCGACTTGCGACGGATATAGGGGTTCTCATCCTCGTCTCCGAGGTCAAAGCGAAGGTTGTTCACGACATATCGGGCGTCTTCTACGACGTCGGTTCGCTCTTGCAGGTCACGCTGTGCCGCATTGCTGCAGACGATTTCGAACTTGGTCAAGTAGTCTGTGTGAGTAGTGGCAGACAAGCCTGCCAAGATGCCTGCCTCAGCTAGGAAGAGGGACCCGGTGCAGACAGACATCAGTGTGCGCTCTCGAGTATAATCTTTCCTCTGAAGTTCGGCGAAAGCCTCGATGATGGGTATGGGTTCAGAGTGCTCTTTCAGGATAGCGCTGCTATCGACGCTGCCCACCACGATGAGAATATCAAAATCATCAAGGCGTTCATGGGCCTCCTTGAAGTTGATCTGGGCGCCAATGATAACACCCTGTTGTGACAAGACCTTAGGCTCAGCGGCAACAATTGTGCAATCGAAGGCTTTGGTATCTGCAAACAAACCCCCTCTTAGCATAGTTACAAGGGAGAGGTAGTTTACAGGCCGGGCATGAATACGTAGGTAGCTAACATACTTTCATCGTTTTTATCGTGGCGAGCCCAGTCGAGGACCTCAAGGGTGCCTGCAAAGTCCAACAAGTCAAACTTGTCTTGAAGGGCGAAGAGCACTTGAATAGGCTCATCGGCCACCGCAGAGGTCTTGTGCGCCATGATTGATAGTAATAGGTAACGTTTTGGAGAGGGGGATAAAGATAGAGAGAGAGAGAGAGAGAGAGAGAGAGAGAGACGTGTTTTGAAATTCAGAAGCCTATGGCTAAGAAGGAGAAAAGACAAAACCTGAGGAGCGCACAATTGATTGATATTGAATCACGATAAGAGGAAATGAGGTCAATTGCTTTGTTGACAAAGTCGTTCTACGATTCCTTTGAGGGGATAGAGAAGAAAGTTGAATGAGAATGGCCAGACGAATGGAGCGAGGAATTGAACCTATGGGCTGATGGATGGAGTGATTGAGGGGCCTCAATTTTCAATACCTGCCCACGCCGGAGAGTTACGTAGGACCTATGTATGGAGCTTAGGGAGGGGCTAAGTCAGGCCTGTAGGTACCGGACGGTAACTACCCCACATTGAGCATGAGAGGTACCTTCTAGGTCGTATGTATATCATTCCCTTCCTGCCCCTCCCCCAGATTTGAAGCCGCTGTCTAGGGTGCGGAGACCCAAGGATCTACCTTCCCTGTGGATCTAAAATGGTCACGCTCTCACCGTAAGAAATACAGTGTCCAAGTTAAAATTCGAAGAAGTGCACATGATCAGCCTTCTCGATACAAAACTACCTAAAGAATGCTAAAGCTTGATAAACTACCTCCTAACACTCAGGCTGAAATGATATTGGATACCAATACAGGATAGGTACGTATTTATCAAGAACGATCGCCATTTTGTGTGATTAAATCCCCCTCTTAGTCCATCGTACTCTTGGACGAATAGGTGATACTTTTAAATACAGCGCCTTAGGCCGACGTACATTACATTATATCATGTATTGTAGTACATGATTAGGTTTAGATGGTTACACTCATTGTACGGCACCTGCAGGCTTGAAGCGGCCTAAACGAGTCGGGAGGACCCACCACTGGGCTTGAAAAAAACAACTGATTTGCTAAGATTGAATGGAACCAAAGGCTGACACGGTTCCACGGTCCCACGGTCCCACAGTCCCAGGGAACCTCCTCGGAACTCAATTGAAGGCTCCTGCAGCTCTACTATGCGCATCCTCGATCCGGAAGTCTACTTCGTGACAGCTCATTGACCCCTACCAGCCGATTGTTTCACTCGAGCCGCTCCATTTGGAGCTTCGGTGTCAATGTCTTCAGCTCCGTATGTCGATTTCGTCACCCAGACTTCCGTCCCAAGTGATCAAGGCCTCTTTGGCCTCTTTGTTACTCCTAACACAAAGTCACTGCATCCACCTATCAAAGTGGAATCTCCAGGCGCTAACCTATTGTCTACAATCTTAGGACCTTTAGGGAGCTTACGAAAGCCATACATAGCTTCATACCGACGGCGAAATATCCGCTACCCGACGATCTTGTCGAGATTATCGAAGCCTACCTGAACAAGCATGAGAAGTTCGACGAAAGCATATCCGACAAGGTCAACGATGAACTACTCTCCTTATTCCATAGAGACGTCGCCCAGGCACCGTCTCGATATACAGCATTTGTTGCCCTCCTTCGCCGTTTACGCCCCATAATCGGACAGCCGAGCAAGACATTCCAATGGTTTGACTTGTTACTTCTAGTACTGAACCATCTGAACCAGGAGAGAGGCCTTGCTTCTGAAGTAGAGGGTGTGTTACTAGAAATCCTTACTGCCGACGATGGCAATGACACTAGTACTCCCACCGGGGGTGCTGCTCCTCGACTTGCAGAGCGCATCTTACTGCTATGGCTCGATGAATATGAAGCTATCGGGAAAAGCCCCGATGTAATGACGGAGTTCAAGGAGAAGCATCTGCGACAGACTTTGCTACAATATGGGAAAAGACGCCCAAAAGTAGGCACCCATGATCTGTCCGTGCTCTAAACAACTGGCTAAATAGACTTAGGATCTCTTGACTGTTCTCGACCTCTATGTGGCCAAAACGACGTATCGTGCCCGCGCTCTTTCATTCCTAGGTATTTTCGTGCAGAGCCAACCGCCGCATCTACATCTTATCCTACAAACACCCCTATTTAACAACTTAATCAACTGCCTTCAGTTAGATACATCTACAACTATTGTTTCCTTAGCTTTAACTGCATTAACCATGATCCTTCCCCATATGCCAAGTTCTCTCGTCCCTCACCTACCCACGCTATTTAACATATATGCGAGGTTGCTCTTTTGGGAGCGAGAGTTGTCTGCTCAAACGGCCGCCGATGCGGACCTGGACCGAAGGTTGTCCCCCAATGCGCTTGCCTGGGAAAAGCTCGCATACTCGACTAACTTCGACGACACGGCTGTCCCGCAAATCCTTCATTATTTCACGGTGCTATATGGACTCTACCCTATCAATTTCATGGACTATATTCGAAAACCACAAAGATACCTTCGACACGCCGAGGTCCCTGATGCTGACGATATTGAGGTCCAGCCTACCGAGATACGTCACGCGTCCGAGAGATTTCGACAGTGCCATCTCCTCCATGAGAACTTCTATACTCTCACTATTGATTCGGAGAAAACAGACTTCGGAAGATGGATCAAAAGTGAGCCAGCCGAAGTCGTAGCTGACTGTGTGGCCCTCTACCGGCCAAGTGAAGCATTCCCTGCCCAGGGCATCCCGAATATAATTCAAGGCGTACACGAAAGAGACGAGCCTGAAAAGAGTAGCCATGAGTCTGCACTACTTAGTGGTTCCTATCCTTTTGGTAACCCCATATTTAGTCCCCTTCAAGGAGACAACCGGCGGAATACCGGGTCAACTTTTACTGAGTCTATCACGAGTGGTCGTGTACAATCTGCCGTACTACGTCAGTCGTCTATAAGCAGCCACCATTCCAATCGCGATAGCTCAAGCCCCAGACCGTTCGGAATCGGTAACGAGAGTCCGACTCTGTCTCGCCAAATTGTCCCGTCCGCATCTCAAACTCAGCTTCAAGACTTGCTAAATTCCAACAAGGCCATCAAATCTGGACTGCATCAATCGATGCCGAATGATAGCGTTCCATCTCTTTCCTTGAGCTACCACGAGTCCATTTCAGACATTCCGGGATCGCAACTCCAGTCGAATCCACAACAGGCCAATGCCTCCTTATCGTCAACCGAGAGCAACAGCGCCCAGATTGCACATTTACAGCGCCAAATACTACTCCTATACAATGACCTAACATTTGAACGATTTATGAAGCAGCAGCACCTTACCCATATGGGTGAGCTACGAAGGCGACACGTACGGGAAGCAGCAAGCGAGGCAGAAACCCAGAATTTGATCATACAGAATCGGCAGCTTAAGCAACAAATAAAGAACGCAAAAGAATCGGAAATACAGGCGAAGAGAGAGTCCGAGAAGAGTCGTACACTCTCGAAGAAGTGGGAAGCTGATCTCACCGCCAAGTTAAGAGCACTTCGTGAAGAGCAGAAAAAATGGAATGCGGAAGGGGATATTTTGCGATGCGAATTAGACACAGCGAAACGCGAGGCGGATAAATTACGATTATTAGTTTGTGAAGCCGAAGTTAGAGAACTAGGCCTGAAGCAAAATATGCAGTCTGTCGAGATCAGCGTCAGTGAGCTGGAGAGATTGAGGAAAGACGTGGAGCGGTTGACAGAATCTGAACGAAATTATCAGGCCAAAGAGACAGAGCGTCAACTTGCAGCAACGCGCGCGGCGGAAGCAGACAGCCGAGCTGAGGTACTAGATATGAAGCTCAAAGCTTGTCATTCTGATATCCAGCAAACACATGACACGTACCGTTCACAGATTGCCGCTCTCAATGCCAAGCTACAAGATCTACTTCAAGACGGTAGAGGACGCAATTCTGATAACTTAAAGTTGCAGTTTGAGAGCGTCCTAGCAGCAAGCCGGGCACAGCAGACGGAGATGAGGAGCCGCACTACAGAGCTTACGAAGAAGAATACAGCTTTACAAGCAAACATACTGGAATTGCAGTCCACAATATCCAACCTCTCGAAGCTAGATCCTCATCCTCCTACTGATCCCGAGGTCGACCTATCTTCCGATTCGGGTAGCCCGTTAACCCATCGAAAGCGCCAGCAGCGTAAGTTTTCTGAGTCGGAGATATTTGAACCAACATCGTACAATGCCACCCCGCCGCTTGAGCCGTATAATACCGGCGTAGAAGGCCAGGTTCGGCGACCATCTACGCCGCTGGTTGATCCGCTCCCAACAGGAAAAGGCAGCCCTACCGCAGAGCGATATTTCGGACGAGGTGAGCTTTCCTTATATAGTCCCGTATTGAATATCACGAGTGTATACTAACTCTACTAGGAGGTGTACAAAATCTACGTAAGGATAAGAAGGAAAGGAAGGACGAGAAGGAGAGAAAGAAGTCGGCTGGCCTACGTGGTATTAGAGGATTCGTCTAGGTTGGCCAACTAGAGTCTAAGAGACTAACTGCCTATTCGTAGTCCTTAAGTAAGTATCATTGGCGACTATTTCGACCATAGACCCAAAAGCCATACGCTAAAGGGGAATAAGGGCAACCATGTCCCTTGCTTTGTGTAATGAATGCAGCATGCTATGCACAACTCGATACCCTTACACCTTAGAGCAATTGCGGAACATCCAAATTCCAAAGTCACGTTGAATTTAATTTCATAACAATACCAACATTCGTAAAATGCGCATGTAGTACCTCTTTTAGCCATTTACACGTATACTTACACTAGGTACCTAATGTTACCCATAAACAAGATGCTGTCTTCAGTTCAATTGGATATGGTTTAGTTAGAAATCCACATTAAAAGAATTCATTCTACGACAGCGAAGTAATAAAATCAAGCGTCTACTGTAAGTCCGGATAGCTCGGATATATCCGATGACGGTCTTTTCTCCCGTCTTGTAAATAACTTAATGACGATTTACTCGCCTACCTATGTATATACATACATGCCGCTATTGATCTGATATTTTGATTTTTCTTTGCCACTTCTCTCTTCTGCTCCACGAGTTACGCCCTATGTATATGTATGTATCATTTCTTATGACTGTAGGTATTTCGTATAGCCGAGGAGGAACTTTGTGGGTGATAGCCTATCAGGCCTATCTATG